TATCAACAAATGAGAATTCAAACAGCATATTGCAAATTTAAACATGATATGGCATTACGGGTTTGTACACAGAAATGAAAAACAAATTTGAGTGGGCAAAGACTATACCTACATACGATTAATACGCACATATTATTTTACTGGTGATTGTATTATTTTATAAATGTATCATGTCCTTCCTTTCTGCGATATGATCGTGTTACATTGAGTTCTGGTCGAACGAATGTGTCATGCCAGTGGTAATATAAGCAGTACCGGAGGGGTAAGGCGACTGCCCAGGGCGCCGGACATACAGGGACACACTAAAGGCATATGTAAGAGCGCGTTTTTTCGTATGGTTTTGTATTGCAATTAGATGGTGCTATGGGAATCTAGCCCAGGGCGTCGGTAATGCTAAAACCGGCCCTGTATTCATAAGTGTTACCCAATGTTAATTCGTTAAGTTTGCGTGCTCTAAATCGTAATTTGATTCTGAAACACGTTTCGTGTTGCAAATTATTTTATTATAACACCTTTGCACCCTCAATTATTAGGCTTTTTGGTAAACAGGGGTGATTTTTATCATTTTATAGACGGTAATGGAAAGTATTTTATAATCCAGCTGGTGTTTACTTAAAGAATTATATTATGACTAGCTTCCACCCGCGACTCCGTCCGCGTGGCATTAGTAAAAACAAAAAATCATTTCAGGCTTTTAGGCTACAAACTCTAACAAACATTCATCCATCCATCCAAACTTTCACATTTATAATATTAGTAAGATAATTTAGTAATGACTATAATTATTAATTAGAACTGAACCATTGTTAAGCGAAACAAATTAAACGGTGATTATAGAAATATTAGCGCATAAATGAGTAAGGAAAACTTATTGTTTATCAATGTATCCTTGAAAGGAATTATTCACATTTAAAGCTAAATCGATAGTATCCTTAACATTTTATCACATTCCGAATGATGCATGCAATGATGACTTAGACGCAGTTGAAAGTTAAACTGCTAACAGAGTTCATTCAAGAAAACCGCGGGTTACCACTACCGTAAAAGAATGATGGAGATTACAAATGTTTTGACGGCAGCAGAAACCAACGCTAATTGTTGACGATAATTTGCCTTAAAGGGTTTCAAACTTGTACTGCGCTTTTTAAGTATGAACTAATAAAATCATCAACATTTGCTATTGGCGTCAACAATGTTGCTGCGAATGATTTAACGACGACCGACGACTTATCATTTACGTCATGGGAAAAAAACATCATTGAAGGTAAAATCAATGACAAGTTCCTACATAACAAATTATTATTATGGATCACGACTCAGTTTTAAACCATTATTTTATCTACATGCATGTAGTTACTATAAAATATGATTCATAATATTTAGATCGGGACGGGTATTAAAATTAGTGTTATTTTAATTAGTCGTAGTTATAATGTAGTGAATTTGACTGTAGTAGACATAGAAATTGTATGAAAGACGATTGCAGAGTGTTGAAGATTTCAGGTTGGCCGAGATTTGAACCCTGTACCTGTATTGTCTACGCACATATGCTTATTTTAAACTAGAATCTAAGTATTTTAATATATTCTGCACAGGTCAGTTAACGCTAGTTATACTCAATTATCAAGTTATTCGTTAATGCAGACACTGAAATAGTAACATAACAAAAATATAGTCTTACGTCTTCCGGCGGAAAGTCGTAACATTCCGCTATCTTCTGATAAAGCTCCTTTACATTAGAAAATCCAGATATGAGGCCGAGAGGGCTGCCTTGCGCTTGTTGACAGTGGAACACCAGTTGCGACTTCTGTGAACCATTGTTATTGTCCAAGCCGTTACTGTGATTATTATCAATGTCCTCCGCTGGCGTCGGCGCGGGGGGAGGGTTATATTTTGGCGCCTTCTTCTTAAATAACGACATTTTTATGCAAAATCACTTTTAACAGTATGTAATTTAAACTTATAGCGAACGTCAATGCGCACTCATTATTCACCAATACACAATATTTTAATCACTACTGAGTCGCACGACTCGCAAGTGCTGTAAATTTATTTATCATTGTGTCACAGTATAAGATAACTTATCGCTCAATGGCGATATTGGATAAGATTATGAGTGTGAAGGTAAAGCATTACGGAACGAGCGAACCAACATACACCACCACACCTACTGGAAGTCAGCAAAAGACTGAATAATTACGAATTTACGATGACGAAGCCCGCATAGCGAGTGAGTGAGCGAGCGCGATATAGAACCCACAGAACATCTTTCCGAGAACGTCAGCAAAACGTTGCGGCAACGGCATACTTTCCAGAGTTCAGCGATGATCTGAGGCGACATGGAAATAGCTTTGACTTAATGATAGTGGGTTTGAATTCACCTTTTTTTAAGTAGGAAAGGAAGTGTTAGAATCGAGACAGATATATCAATCGTAATACACTTGTAAACACATTTTTTACCCTTTTAAATGAAAAAAAACTTATCTACTCGAAGTCTTAATGCTTTCAAGTTCAAAAAATTACATTATCTATTAATTTACATGAAAAAAGGCCAATCTATATAAATATTATAAGTAGGAAAGATTTGTATGTATTCACGTAAAAACTACTAGGCCGATTTTAAAAAATCTTTTTCTATTAGAAAGGTAATTTAACTGTAACATAGGCATATTTTTTTAATTACACGCGGGCGAAGTCGCGAGCAAGAGCTATGAGTTAATAAAATAAAACTAATAACAAAAAATGTAACTATGGAGTTGAAAATAATTCTCAACATGTTTCTTTCTCACAACCTATGAAACTAGTTGGGTGCACGAACTAGTATGTCCTAATACAATCACATTTGTAACAACATTCCAAAGTCTGGAAAAGTTCGTAAATTAATTGGATGAATCTGACATTGTTTTATGTAGAGTTGATGCGAATATACACATTTTTTGTTTGCTTGATCTCTGGATATTTTATACTTATAAACATGTAATAAATACATGTCTGGTTAGGCGTTCATAGGTATGAAATTAACTAGTAGCCCAAATTAGTTTTGGTACAGGAAGATATCATGTTTTTAAATCTGTTATAGTGTGAAAATCAGTGTTTTGGTATGTACTTTATTGACGTAAAAAGTATTGGGCCGATTTTAAAAATTCTTTCACCATAAGGTAATTTGTCTGTAGTATTATAATTATTTTTTAATCTCACGCGAACGACGTCGGGAGCTACAGCTAGTCAAATATAGCTTAGGATAATCTTACATTCTAATGATGAAAGAACTTTTATATCAGTAGTTTGAGTTTATGTTTTAACATATATAAAAATCTATAGTCTTTTAATATTAGTATGGGTATATACAACTAAAATAAAAGTATAGATTTTAGGTTTTTATTGTTGTTGGGCAATAATTCTACGATGAGGCTACAGCTTTCTTAGGTGTAGGTTTGCCTTCCTTGAAACCATTGCGGAAACGCCTTCTGACAATCTTGAGGTGACGCATGCGGCCGGTGCCAGTGGTCTTCCTGCGCTTAGCCTTAACTGACCAGTGGTCTGGAAATATACAAATAAAACATTTTAAATCATATATTTAACAAAGAAAAATTTTCCTACATATTTGGCCTATAAATGATGTATATGTAAGGATGATGTTAGATATTGGTGTAAATTGTGTAAAAATCATGTACACATGAGAATCGCCAATATTTAGTATGCTTTACCTACATTTTACAAGAACACAAACATTAAGTAAGCATCCTCAATCAGTGTAGGAATAATAGTAGAGTTTGGTGTATTTCAAAGTACATACAAAAATAAATTATTGTAGATTTTGCTTATTCAGGATCATCTTAATTGAGTAAATATACAGATTTACTTAATGCTATAAGAGGCTTACTAACAATTTTATGAGCAGATTTTTTAGGCTTTGAAATAAAATAAAATAATAATAATTATTACTATTATAAAATGAATCTAGAACTATCTAGATATTTGCCCAGACCGAATTCTTAGATATTTGAATGAATAAAATGCCATGATGTTGAGCATTGGATGATGTTTATTTTAACACAAATGTTTTTTTCAAGAAAAAAACATAATGTAATTACGGTTGAGAAGGTTATCAAATTACTTTTATTGTTAGTATTGAAACTAACCAACCTTAAACTGTCATAAACAAATATTTTTATTTAGTTTATCAGGTCTTTTACAACTTGGCACTATAGCCACATAAATTTTGTTTTGACATAAAATTATGAGGCAATTAACTAAAATACTTATACATATTACTGACAAATATAACCTATAGAACTCGAACAGCACACACTAAATGAACATAATAAAGTGGTAATACTTACAAGAACGGAGTTTCGCAGCCGGATAACCACACTGTGCACATTTTGATTTTTGAATGTGATACGAGGATCTACCGCATCTTCTGCATAATGTGTGGGTCTTATTACGCCGCTTACCAAAACTTGAGGTACCCTTCGTCTGAAATTGGGAAAAGGTTATTTCACATCACTTTTGTCACAAATACTTGTTTAGTACAACAAATGTATAGAGCTGGAATTTAATTCCAACATAATTTTTAATAATAGTTTATTACAACTTTAGATGAAAATTGATTTATAAATATTTAGAATTAACCGTACCATTTTGTCAGAGTTTGACAATGAAAGAGACCAAAGATAACAAAGCACTCAAATCGATGTTGCCATTTGGTTTTTTTCGTGTGTCACAGATAAGAAAATATACTTTCAGACCAAAGCTATTTTATGTAAATGTCTTAAAATATGTAATTGATTTTCTAACTGTGCCGCCCATAATCTGCCACACTGCTGACCTGCGTGCCTATATTTTTTAACGTTCTTGGGATATTAGACAGGTCAACTCGTATTATGTGCCAAGAAAAATCTGAAATTAACAAAAATACGAAAATCTTGAACTAAGACACAATATTTTATACTGTGTCTGTGCTATAATCATTTTCTGTTCTGGCGAGTAAATTTAACAAATTGTCTATGTAAAATTTATTTGTCAAGGCGAGGTTTATTTATTCCCCGTTTCGTACCATATCTCTTACAATATTATTTTTTCTTTGCAAGTAACTGGATCGAACTAAAACTGTTCGCATAAGAGAAAAGCACTTTTGTTATTGGGAAAGTAATCAAAGGTAAGAAAATATTTTGTACAAGAATCACTTGGCTTCCCCACCAAGAGACAAATAATCAATTACAATTTGCTCGAAATTAGTCAAAACAGCTTAACTCGGATATGCAAAATAGGTTTAGATTAAAACAATTACTGTACGCAGGCCAAATATTAATGGCGTACTTATATCGAGCCAACGTTTAACATTTTACCATAAACCGCATCTTTTGACAACTGTGCCTCGGCCTGCAAGTAAGAATTAAATAAAGTTTTAGTATTTCGACCCTCTATCTCCTTAGTCCTAAAAGTATGTAAAATGACAATTTGTCTATTTTAGATTAAACTGAACAATGGATTTATTAAATAGTATGAAAAATTTAACCATCAAACATACACAAAATGATGGTGACCAACAATTTTTTAAGTCCATATCAGCAGATATTGACGATGTTGCCACAGAAATTGTTTTGGCTGAATATGTTGAAAAGATTTTACTTATTGTGTCTCAATATCAAAAAATAGGCAGTATGCTAATGATACAAAAAGACCAAGTTCATAGTCCTCTAGGTACAGATGACATTTATACAACAAAAGTAATTTTTGGTGCCACAGGGGAAGATCAACTTGTAGCAGCAAGATACTTAGCTGAGGCCATCAAAATCACAAAACCACTCTGTATATTCATAAATCTGAAATCTTATGACATTGAAACTGTAAAAGCTTGCAAAGATATCATTTTGGATTTGAAGAAAGAGGAAAAGTAAAATAATGGAAGTAGCAACAACTAATACATTCAAAACTGTAAATAAGTTATATGGTCAACTTGTAATAGGACCTCCGGGTGCAGGAAAGACAACATATTGTGACAAAATGGCTCATTTGCTAAAGAAATTAGGAAGAAGAATCATTATTATTAATTTAGATCCTGCCAATGAAACTATGTCCTACAAAGCTGATATCGACATCAGACAACTAATAGCCCTTGACGAAGTTATGGTTCATTATAGTCTTGGTCCGAATGGAGCATTATTATACTGTTTGCAGTATTTAGAGAAAAATATTGACTGGTTATTAAACCAAATGAAAGGTGACCATGGTACAAATTTTATCTTTGACTTACCTGGTCAAGTGGAGCTCTATTGCCATCATGATGTGGTAAACAATATTTTCTCCAAGTTGATTGAAAAAGCAAATTTACAATTATGTGTAGTTCATCTTGTTGACTCACATCATTGTTCTGATGCTGGTAAATTCATTTCTGCATTGATGCTATCACTTTCCGCCATGTTAAAGATTGCTCTGCCACATGTTAATTTATTAACAAAAGTTGATATATTGAAAAAACATATGGACAAACTTGAATTTGGCATAGATTTCTACACTGATGTTTTGGATTTAAATTATCTGTTGGATAGTTTGGATGGTGATAGGTTTACTGCAAAATATAAGAAACTGAATGCGGCTCTTGTGTCTATTATTGAAGATTACAGTTTAGTATCATTTCAACTGGTGAATATATTCAATGAAGATAGTTTGATGTCTGTTAAAAAATTAGTGGATAAGACTAATGGATTTGTGTTTAAAGCAGAAGAGGGTAGACACATAAATAGTATGTTAGCTTGTGCTATGGGTGTCAATGAACCTGAAGATATGAATACCTTGTAATAAATATTAAATCTGCAGTTTGTTTTCATTTTTCTATCCTCTTAACCTCTTAGCGGTCTGTAGAAGTAGTTTTAAATTAAATCTGGATACTATTAAAATGTTATGTAAGAACAGAAAACAATTAAAGGTTTCATGGAATGCAGCCTGTTCATTCCTGTTCAAATGAGGTTGCAAAATAATTCTTAAGGATTTTTTATTTCAAAAAACTGTAAGCCATGTCCAAGGGAAAATGTTGATGTATTTTAACCATCATTTATTTGATTATATATCTACTACATATGGCACTTACTAAAACATGTAGCAATGAAGTGAACTACAGTACTCTATGTCATGTTTTAAGAAATTGAAATAGATGTATGGGCGTTGCCAGGAACACAGCTCCGACCCCTCCCTACTGGAATGTCGAAAATTTGAACATATTTTTCCTGGAGTGGCCTACTATTCCTGGAGACCCATATAGATAACATTCATGTCAGTTACACCAGACCACATGTTGAAAAGCATAATTTGCAACAAAAAGTCAAGTTTAAGGCCAGGGATATGATTGATTTTATTATTAGTCGCCATTTATTAACGGTCTTCTTCCCCCTCCACCTCCATAAATAGATGGAGATCATAATACTATCTCTTAAAATGTTTACTCTTCATTTCAGATGTCCAAAAATAAACAGGTTGAATACAAGAATCTTCTTGAAACTGAAGCAAAGATTGATAAACTGCTCCAAGACAGTTGTAAATCACACGAGGTCCGTTTCCTACACGAATATAACAACATAAAGGACGCGGCGCAAATAATCATCGGCCACGTCGCCAATATAGAGGGGACGTCAGTCACGGAGATACACAAGCGACTAAATCTTACTGAATAAAAGACAATTGAAATGATGGAACGTTTATTTGAAGACAAATACAACTCTTTACAATTTAAAATTCATCCAATATTTTTTGTGTCCATAAACTAAAACAGTGATGAACATTTTTTAAAACTTTATTTTCACATTGCAGGTTTTATGTACTTAAGTTATAAGTGTTTTCAAAAAGCCACAGTTCCATGTTTGCTACTTCAATTACGAAAAATGTTTATGTATTACATGAGAAATATTCTAATATATTTTATTTTGACAATATTGAGTGACCATAGTCAGCAAACAAGTTTATAAAATGGATTAAAAAGGGTATTATACTGTTGAATACTCTAAAACTATATTGAATAATGGGTTTAAGACAATAAAAATAAAAACTACATCCTTCTCGGAATCACCACTAATGCGTAACATTTTAAAATGTGTTAAAAGTTAAAATTAAGCAGCACAAAATTCGGCTGATTGTCATGAAAGGCATCTCAACAAACTCCCATATAGGGGAGTGCGGTCCACGCCGCGCCTTTCACTCATCGCCCCTAACACGATATTATCGCCCATGTAATATTACCAAAACCTCTAAACATGTTTAAATTGTTGTTACACATAATTCTTAAACAAATCAAAATATATTGACGTTAAAATTCTAGACGCTACATATTGTTTATTAATAAGCAAGCAATATTATATAATTGTTTATATAAATGTTGTCGCGTGCGACAGTTAGCTAAGTTTGCAATAGAGTGGCGGCCTCGCGTCGCTCGCGTCACCCGCGCATCAGCCCCGAGGCACGAGCGACGGCCCAGATGCGTTACCTTTATATCCGTCGGCAAACATCCTCAAACACGGATCATATACATTAGTTTACCACAGTCCCCTTTACATATTATTGTTATATTTACGACAAACTACGAGGGACACTTCAACGTTAAGAATTAGGGATTACTTCATGCAATGTTGTATATAAAAGTCCATTAACAAGTATTATGGTCCGTGCTTGTAACGACTGGGCGGTCGTTAAGTATGTTTGCTCGATAAGTTGTAATCGTGTTTCAATTATCAAAATCTTATATTGTGGCAACAAATATGTTATTAACAAGTATGTTATTGTGGCAACATATTTCGTCTATGTACCAGCCAGGGTTTAAGCGTTCAAATTGTAAAGTCTTCATAGTTCCATGGTTGCAGGTGCCGAAGGCTTAGTTTGTCATTAGATAACGTTTGCAAAACGTATTCGAAATGGAATGTAACTGTAATGTATGCTGATCTTGTCAACAGCTTTACCATCCATCGAGTATCAGACCGACACTTGTGTCTCACAATATTCATCTTAGTCATTCCAGCTAAATTTAAGTATAACAATATAACAAATATACAAAAATACATAAAAAGTGAAGAACATTCACAATACTGGATCTCCCAAAATGCGTATAAATATATCACTAACAAATCTAACTTCACTATCGAAATAATACCCTATAGGATGCGGAGAAGGCAGTACGTGAATGTTCTTTCGACTTCATTAAAGGTCTATCGTTAGACTTAAATCTATGAGTTTCAGACTCGTTTCAGGGCAGTCCCAGACTAATTTTCAAAAGCACCAACCGACATTCAATAAATGCAATTTCTATACAAAAATTTCAGCCTTCCCACCGTTCCTATAACGCTTCGTTCCAAACGTATACCTACTAAAATACTTCAAAAATATGCTTCAGCCAGGTATACATTGTTACAAACATCTCAATGAACCGAGAACTACCACACAAAGCGGACCATGCACATTACAACTATATAACATTCCGATAACAGTCTTAGCTAAGCTAAATCACTTCCCTTCCGCTTTGTGTGGCAGCGGTACAGACAACAAACAGAACAAATTTCAAGACCTCCATACTCTTTCAATAATGCCTAAACATACATCAAGAATTCCTAAAAACAAGTCTGAACAGGATTGGTTTAATCAATCAAATCGAGATCAAAATAAAACGAACCAGTCGCCTTCCTCAGCCTCAGTTCATGCAAACAGATTTCATTGACCAAACCAAACTTAGAATAAAACAATGCATTTGGTAAATTGTAAATATACTATGTGTAAATAAATAATGCCGACTCAGTACTTCATATGCTAAACTAAACATATTATTTACTAAGTCATCTCACTTTTCAATTAAACGTGACTTAACGTGTTAGCTCATTAAATATATATTTTCTAATTATCACTTGTCAAGTAATGGATGTTGAGGTCCTATCCTTATAAAAGATAAAAATTGTACTACCCTCAAACGGTAGAGTTTTTGTCTTTGAACACTGCCATTTGCAGTAAATCCCATAATAAAATTGGAACATTTGCACTAAGCAGTATTCAAAGACGTTTGTCGTAATAGGTTGCGGCATTATAATGCAAGTCCAATGTCACTTATCAATATTATATTTAATTGAACACTTGATGTGACAATTCAATTAATATAAAATCAGTCTCAATGTCGGGAAGTCTTTAGATGTTGAGGCACGCATTTGTCACCTTACAGATAACAACACAATCTTACAAGCGACAGATTGTTTGCTTTCTGTTTACAAATTTATTTATTATGCAACTGTATACTTTACGTGCTAATATAAACTTACGTAGATGTTAGCGTTCTACCACATAACGTTAACAGTTAGTAAATGTTACATTGTCAGTTAAAATGTCTTTTTTAAAATATAAAGAAAAAAAATATAACCATTTGCATCAAAAACGTAGATGCATGTAAATGCTTTACCATTTAACAAAATAAAAGCGAACGAGCTGTTTAAAGTAACTAAAAACAAAGAAAAATGAGAAGAAAAATAACAAAAACAAGATAAAGTTACCTTTGGGTTAGGTTAATGTTTTAGTTAGGTTCAGGCGCGTCTCCCTGCCCCATGTGCTCCTTCTCCGCGTTATGGCAAACCTCCACCGCCTACAAATAAATTATAACAATCAGTATATAAATTTGTTTATGGCCTTTATTATGACACCATAATGCAGTATCAACTTCACTCTAAATCCTTTGAATTACCGACAACCAGTCATTCTCTAGATTTTTTTCTGTCATCAGCAGGATGTCACAACGACCCATTCCCAGTTTTAAAATAACTAGTAATAGAGAAGACAACAAAAGGTTTCTGTTTACGTTTGTAGTAAATTTACTAACAAAATGATCAATAGTTTTTTAATATAACTAAATATTGAAACATAGCCTATTTCAAAATCATTATAAATGGTTTCTGTAATCTATGATCAACATTTAATGGAATATGAAAATTATGCAACTCAGCTCTCGATGTCCTCGTGTCATCACAACATGGCGCACTTCAATATTCAAAATATGAAATGCACATCAAAACGAAATGAATCCAAATATTTGACATATGTATGTAATTTAATTACCTAAACAAAGCAAGATAAGCATGCTGTGTTGACCGGAGTACAGAAATATTTATCCGTTATCCTAATTTGCGACAAACGCGACGATTAAATATCAAGTGATATGTGTTCAGTGTGACGCGTGTGTTCAGCGTGACGCGTGTGTTCAGCGTGACGCGTGTGTTCAGTGTGACGCGTGTGTTCAGTGTGACGCGTGTGTTCAGTGTGACGCGTGTGTTCAGTGTGACGCGTGTGTTCAGTGTGACGCGCGTGTTCAGTGTGTTGCGCGTGTTCAGTGTGTCGCGCGTGTTCAGTGTGACGCGTGTGTTCAGTGTGACGCGTTTGTTCAGTGTGACGCGTGTGTTCAGTGTGACGCGTTTGTTCAGTGTGACGCGTATGTCGCGTTAAGACAAGGGCAGGGAGTCAAGAGGCAGTCACCTTGTTCTTGTCAAGCGGTCCATTGGCCTCGAGAGATTGAGCTACATCGTTCTTCTGACCGGTGCCCTTCTTTTTCCCTTTTCCTACATTCTTTTTAATATTTTTACCAGATTTTGCTTTCTGAGCTTGAGATCCTGCATAATTATAATCGTTAGGTGAATTGTTAGTATAATTAAATGAATAATTTTTGTGCGTTAAATAAATATAAACCTTCTGGTTCATCTGGAACGACGTTGTCCTCGTGCGGGCTGCCGTCGTCCCCCTGGGCGATGTCTTCCGGTCGAACGGTTTTTCTAAATATAATATAAAATATAACTATGAAATATATGGAAGTTACGATATTGAAATTAAATAATATGAAATGAAATATGCTTACCCATTGACAGTGATGGTGGCTGGTCGCAGGGGCTCGTCGTGTTCGCGTCGCGTGCGTCGTGCGCCTCGCGTGGCGCCGCGCGCCCCGCGGCCCCCGCGCCCTCCGCGCCCTCCCAGGCCGCGCGCACCGCCCGCGCCGCGCCACCCGCGTCCGCCGTACGCGTTGCGCGGCGGCGGCGTGTACCCCACATAGCTCACCTGCTAACATACCACACACTACTTATTAACAAAGCGAAAAACACTAGGTACTACTATATACACTAGGTAGCATAAAAATGCGCAGACTTAAATAATACTCATACTAAACTACTAAATGGTTAACTGATCTAAATGAAATTTGGCACAGATGTATGTATACATAGTCTAGCTATTTTATTTTCATTTTAAATCGCGCGAAAAAAGCCGCGGGCAAATGCCAGTTGTACATAATTGTATGCTAAAAATTGCTATTTCATTTAAAGTTTCAAGAAGTATGTAGTTTGTAGATTGCATGGTCTGTGAACAATAGACCTTGATCTTGAGTGCTTGAGTTAAGTAAAGTTGACCACCCCTGCGCTATACTATCTAGTCTAGTTTGCTATTTAAAAGTTTATATGTCATTATTTTTATTGATTGGCGACAGAATAATGCTACTTCAGAGTAGTAGACTGCGAAAAAAGTATAAAGGCAGTGAGTACCTGTGGGTATCTCTGCGTGCGCGAGGGGTAGCTGCCGCCGCCCCACTGTCCGACGACGACGCCGGCTATCTCGAGGCGTGCGCCGGCGCCGCGGCCGCGGCCGCGCCCCCAGCCGCCCAGCTGGCCGCCCAGCGAGCCGCCCAGCGCGCCGCCCACCACGCCCGCCACCAGCGGCAGCGGCGGCAGCGCGAACTCCACCTCCAGGCCCTCCAGTATCGCCTTGCGCATTCTCTCCACCTGTACCACATTCTTACATTGTAAAAATATATCTAGGTAGACGAAGAGTAGTTCTAAAATTTAATATATGAAGAACAAACTTAAATTTCATGCGGTCGGTTGCTTTTTTTTTCTTATATCACAAGGTGGCAAACAGCCAGCGGCTGCCTGAGTCTACCATAAAAACAAAGCGATCGCTGGTCATAAATATCCACAACTGCAGATGCATTGCATGCATGTTGCAATTTCCCTTTTCGCCCGTTGCTCATAAAAAATGGGTGAGAAGAGAAGAGACTGAAATTTGGCCTCGGACACATATACTCATTACACGAAACGCGAAATGACTTCCTCTAAACGCTTCTGTATAGTCGTGGTATTGCACCGAGCGAGCCGGCTTATTCGTGCGTAGTTGTCTGTGTAATAAAGTGGTGAGTCGCCAGCGTTACCTTGACGACGGTGTCGAGGTGGTTGTCGCAGAGCTGCGCGAGGTGCTTGCAGTGCGCGGCGCGGTGCAGGTTGCGCTGCAGCAGCTTGCCGTCGAAGTAGAGCCAGGGCGCGGCCACCAGCCAGGGCACGGGCGCGCCGCACGCGTCGTTGGCCAGCAGCGCCGCCTCCGCGCCCGCCATCACCAGCGCGCTCAGCTGCACGCCGCGCCCGCTTATGCCGTTCACCTGACAACCGAACACATTACTACCTGTAAACCAGCGGAATTCATATAGAACTACATTACTACCCTATTGTTCTACCAGACTATGTCATCTACCTCAATTTCATCGACATCCGTTCCGAAGGCTATAAACTCTAACGTCCATCCAATCAAATTTACACATTCTAAATATTAGTTTTATTATTGAAAAAAATCAAAGTAATTTGCACAGATAAAGTATAAAAATAAAACGTACTGTCATTTCTTGCAAATGGAGAGCATTCATGAGATCATTTGAGAAAGCTGTTGCCAAGAATGCATCCAGTTCCTGGCGACGCAGAATTTGTATCTGGGAGGTCATGATGAACCTAAAAATATTAAGCAGACGTTAGTATAAGAACTATTAGAGTGTAGGATTAGTGATGGAGACACAAGTTACCTTAAGACAGTAGCTAATATCAATAAATGTTGCGGCACATAGGATGTGTTCAACATCAACGGAGTATCGGAGCGCATGCAGGACAGGAAGGCGCGCATGCGGCGACATTTGTCATCTTGAGCGGTTCTGTGAACAATTATTTAAAATTAACTCTATTTCTATATGAAATGTCAATGAATATAAGTTATTTTTTTATTTGCTAAGGGTCCAGGTGCCGCCAGCTGTATGTTTTTTTTTTATATCATAAGGTGGCAAATGAGCAATTGGTAACCTAAATCCGCTAAACTTGCGAAGTGACCGCTGCCCATAGACATCCGTAATAGCGGATTCGTTGCCTACCCTTACTCGATGAAAGAGGAGCACATAAAGAGGATATTTCCTCTTCCTATGCGTCTCTACCGTCAAATTCACGTTCAGGATGAAAACATCCTTTACTTATCAGGAAAAGGGACTAAAGTTCGGCCACCAGCACCACACTAATCAGACTACGGGAAATTTCTCCCACTTGACGGCTGTCTTTTGTCTGGTTGTGGTATTACTGGGGGCGAGTCAACCCATTCGTGCGAATATGGTAAAGCGGGCTCTACCAGTGTGTCGCTCACCCGAACCAGAGGCGCTGCACGGTGGGCACGGGCCAGTCGAGGATGACGCCGGGCACCAGCTCGGCCGCCTTGCCGGGGTTCACGCGCGAGTAGATCCACTCCGACACCTGCACCTGGCACGGCTTCTCGTTGCACGCAGCGCTCGTCGATCCCTCCTCTGACGTCATTACAATTGTAATTAGATTTCGCCCGCAACATAGTACGTGCGTAAATTAAAAAAACCAAAACTTATTAAGTAGCCTATGTAATCTTTTAATTTTCTAAACATTTCATCTAGATCCATTGAACCACTTAGGAATCTCCTAACATCCATACATCTATCCAATACTACTTTCAGGTTTTTAATATTAGTAAAATTATTATGTGCAGATATATTAGTCATATGCAAAAGCTGCTCTCTCAAAATGACTCTCCTGTCTATTATATGTTATCGGTGTTACAGAGCTATCTGCTTTGTACTGTCAGTTGACGCATGTCATCATGAGACCATAGGTAAAGCTTTTGCACACGGAAAACATTGGTCATTATTCTCATAGAAAAACAGCACATTTTTCTCTACTGAAAACACTTTCATAAAATTAACAACCTTTTTAACAATTAACACTTCACATATTTTTAACAACTTTTGGAAAAGCTGCCTATAGGATATTCGTGATCTTACCTCTAGCTTTCTGCGCCATGAAGCGATGATGGTGCATGTTGTAGAGGATGGCGTACACGTTCTGTCTGATGGGTCTGAAGAAGTGGTGTATGGAGGGTATCTCGCGGTGGTTGTCGTCCTCCATGAGCACGGGCAGCGTGATCTGCCTGTGAGTGAGCACGCACAGCATCTGCGGGTGCATGAGGCCGCGCGCGTGTCTCTCCGCGCACGTGCGCAGTACCTCAGCGGGCGCGGCGGGGCAGTTGTCCTCGCTCTGCATCACTCTGCCGCTCGTCGCCTGCAACAAATACGTTTTTAAGCTTTCTTCTGCACACTATCCGCGGCGAATTAAAAATAACTCATTGTCAGATCCGTCAGCACATTTAACAACTTAATATACGGATATTGAATTTAATTTGCGCCTGAATATAATGAAAAACGTATCAGATCCGTTAAGCCGTTTATCCCAATCCCATCGATAAAACTACTGTTAAAATAATAAAAAAAGGGCAGCTAAATCTGTTTGTTCAGTAAAGTTTTATTACACTAAACAACACTAAAAAACTATTTATAAATGTGAACAATGTGCTTGCATCTCCAGTTATTCCCAACCGTCACTCCGCTCTGTCTCCACATGGAGACAAATGAGAATAAAAAGTTTCATTTGTCCCACCTTTTAAGCGAAAGAATGGTTGGAACTTATTTGATTTCATAATGGTTCCATCTGTCACCTTATTGGTACTAGTGGGACGGATGCAACTTTTTATTCTCACGTGGGGACAGAGCGGAGTGACGGATGGGAATGTTCCGCAACTCCTTGGTACAAGAGAGTCGCATTACAAGAAATACCTTTGGCTCTGTAGCCGCACTTTGCTGACCTATGCAAAATTTAGTTTTTATTATATTAGTATGAAAGGTAATTGTTTGCATTATATTCTAGAGTTTTGTGCATTTCATTTAATGGAAAATACTGTTATTAAAAAAAATAAAGAAATAGGTGTTAGTTATGTTTGTCCGGGCAGCATAGCATAACATACATGTGGCTTAACTTCCTCTGAAAAGTAAAAGTAATAAAAACAATACCTTAAATAATGAACTAGGAAAATTTTTACTTAGTTAATAGGATATGTTAGATTTGCAAAGTACATAAAACAGTGGAAATAAAGATATAAAATCACACCTCCTTGGATGGGGCCTGATCATTTCTGTCGCCGGGCTTAGCGGGCTGTTGCTTGGATGTTCCGTCACCATCAAGTGTCATGGAAGCCATACCATGGCTGACATCATTGCTCTCCTCCATACTAAAGTCGGCATTTATTGAAGCATTGGCAGTTGCCAGTTTGTAATCTTCCAAGCCTTTTTGCTGTAATTTATTGAGGTTCTCTTGTTTCAACCATTCAAGTGCTTTCGTAAATAATAAACAAATTCAAAGCAAATAAAAGTGTAAACACGAAAATAAAGAATTTAAAAAAATGATGTTAATACTAATAATTGAATACTAAAGATAGATAGCAATACCAGAAAAGAATATACAAAATAACGATTTTATGGTGACTTCTCTTTTTAACTAATAACATACAAAAAAAGATATTTACAATATTTAATCATTATATTACAATATTATGTATTAATTTCATACAATTCAATAATTTCCCAATAAATACATACATTTACTTATGTGATTCTATTAAATAATATTGAAAAAAAAAATATATAAAAAAATTAAAAAGATGTTAGAAAAATGTGCACTCGGCTAAAACATAATTTGAATAATTTAGTTGATGGTTCATGCATTATATGCTTTGCCAATGGATGCCAATGGTTATGGTAAAAGGCGTGGATGACTATAGCAATGTTGCGTTTATAATAATAGTAATAATTGTAAAAACCTCATGCTCCGATGTCTCTGAGGCAAGGCGGGTGGTGTCCATATCACCAGATGTTGACGGAGGGCTCATCTCTGGCTTATTTTTCTTGTTAGTTTTAGGACGACGACCTACAAATATAGATAAAAATTACAACATTAAACATCTGAATTTAAAGTCCTTTGTTTTAACAAAGCTTTTTCAGATGAGAAGAGGGCAACTTCGCATGATTTTTAATTACTTTTTCGTCGTTTTTCAATAACTTCCAATACATTAACATATATGCAATATCATGGTAACTTATTTTCTGAGCTTACCTTAAAAATATTTCAACATTTAATTACTAATCAATAAGTTAGTGCTCACCAGAAGCAGTTCTATATTTTAAGAAACCATCTTTAGTTCCATTGAGATAATACTGAACAGCCTGTTTCAGTTTAGCAGCACGGAGATCGTTGAGATCACCAAATATTTCAATACAGGCTGCATCTACATCTGCTGAAGGTAATTCCCGAACAAACTGACAAATGGCTTTGATAAGAGTTTCCGGTGGAACTTGTTGCTGTAAGTAAAGATAGAGCTTTAAACTTAGACTATTGTTATTAATATTAAACTAAAATTTACAATGACTACAAATATAACTTGTTAAGAACAAAATGTTTTAATAACAGTGGTAGATACTGTATTTATGTGACTAAATAAAAGAATTCAATATTATTATTGAACTTGTCTTACCTTCTTTTGCGAGATACCTAAACGTTTATAAAAATCTTGAAGGCTCTGTTCAGATAAAATTGTGCCTCCAAGTAAAGCTGCCATAAGACACAACCTGTCCTGCGGTACATCTAAAACCTTTGGCAACTCATGCACCATGTACTCTTTAGTTTCCAATGATGACTACAAATAGACAAAGAACATTAAAAAAATGAAGTGTTTTATATATAAAAATGACAAGCTAAACAACATTCACTCAGCAATTTTTACATTTATAGTATTACTAGCTTCTGCCCGCGACTTCGTCCATGTGTAAAAAAAGTAAGTAGCATATGTGTTCCTCTAGGCTATCCTCTACATGTATGCCACATTCAAGATCTGTTCACCCGTTTAGGCTACAAAGTCTACCAAACATCCATCCATCCATCTAAACTTTCACACTTATAATACTAGTAAGATTGTATGATAATATTAAACATACCCTATATGTAAGTTTCAACTGCGAGGAACTAAAATATCTTGGTGGTTGAAAAACTAAATATTCACCGGAACAACCTACAAGACCAGCGTAGGTTTTCTCTCTGCACAGACCGACAACCTCTTGGCAATGGTCATCTGAAGACACCATCTAGAGAAGAATATAAGCTTTAAAATACTCATATTAATGTAGCTAAGCATTACATTTGATTAATAGTGAAGAACAGCACTACAATAGAAATGAGTGTAGTCTAGTAGGTCTTATCATATTTTCAAGTTTAGTCATACAAAATTTTTTTTAAATCGAATTCCAGTAACTTTTTATGTTGATTTGATTTTAAATTAATAAATCTAGCATTAACCTGTAGCATGCATAGCAAGATGAAGAATACAATGTTCAAATACATAAAATGTACATATTTATACATGTGGAGGTAAATGGAAAATATTAGTATATATTTTATTGTAAAAATAACTCACAACAGGTATATTGAGATATCGCAGAGCAGTCCTAAGGCAGGAATGCAGCCCAGTCGGGGGCACCCACCAAACTTTAGGAGGAGGTGTTCCCTTTGTGACTATATGTCGCAATACCTGAAAACATAAGTTGATTTAAAATACAGCTATAAATTTTAAGGATAAATTATATAAAAACATTATCAAAAAGTAAATACTATATACAGATTAAGTAAAGATTTTGATATTTCATATTTGTAAATAACACATGAATTGAATAGAGTAAAAGAAAGGTTTATATGTATTCCAATAAACATATTTATTTAATACATATAAACCTTTCTTTTAATAATAAAAACTGCCAAGGCTTTTTCAAGTATTTTAAGATAAACTAAAGGTAATTTAATTTTGTTTACATCTGATAGGTAACAGTACTATAATGTAATATAAAATTGGATATTACATTTCAAAAAAGTAAACATACTAATACATACAGAGTTAACCCTCTGCCTATATGTGCTCTGTGTTTGGATCCATTGCTGTGGTACTGCTGGTGGTGTGGGATGAGATCCATTGAAACACACACACAAAGCCACTTGGTGTTCAGCAAGAGCCTGAGATAATGTTGTTAAAAACTGCACACATCTAGCCCACTGACCCCCGCAAGCCCAATCTAAAACAATAAAGTGTTTTTCACATTTTTACATTAAATTAAAATACGCGTCAATAATAATATATGACTTGTCACAACAGTAGATTCTAATAGCATACCTGAAAAGTACCCTCCGTAAAGACGATCCAGGCATCCTTCGGCGTCAAGAACTAATCGAAAACCACCAGCATGATTTCTAGCAATTCTAAATAAATCGACACCTACACCTTCATTTTCTAAAAATGTTTGTAGGTCTTGTATGCCCATGATTAAAGGAAAAATTCAATATCTAATAATTCGATCGAACACGTTCGTCTCGACTAATTGGTCTGAAATCAATGCAAAAACATTTATGATATTAAATTGTTCGAAAATAATCACGCTGGTAATATTACCGCAAGGTGATTGTAGTATTAAGAACTAAAAAGAATATACCGAAATGCAAAAAACATAGTAAAAAATAGACTATATAACCGGCACGTTTCTAAGAGGAAATTAGGGTACAGATCAAGTCCAACACATAGTTTGGTATGATGTGTAAAACTGTCTTGTTTTGATCTACCGATTTAGAAAATTTAGAGACTCACGAACCTCGATCCAAAAAACCATGCCAAGAGTAAATTACGGCAGCCGAAACTTGGAAACGGAAGCCATTTGTAATTTTGTAATTTTATGAACCTTCCTCGAAGTCAGCACAGATCTTACAAATTTTGAAGAGTAAAATTAGTTTAAAACTCGCAGAATGACACTGGCAAATTCTACCCAATTCTACCAATAAAAATAAATTCAGTTTGTTTTGGATGACGATATAATAAACCGTCGTTAATAATTGATTATGTAATCTAATCTAAAGTCTTAATCGTCCTTTTTGGGCTATTTTAGTTTGATTTTCTAATGTTGGATTGCTGAAGTTTCCATTTATTTCATCATTACCATTTCAATTTATTACCGATTCATTAGTGTTACGTTTAACTATGTTTCAACGGAGTAAAACTTAAATAACGTAGTTTGGAAACGCATTTTATGAAGTTAATCGAAACGAAAACACTAACTCGTTCTCTCTCTTCCCAGACTGTATCCTATATGGCTTTCTTTGTGAATATCCTCCACTACGCTCTATCTTATCGAAAAAACGAACGAATGGTTAAAGTATTTGGGAAACCGACCATGAGTTTTTTTTTTTTATAACATAAGATGGCAAACGAGCAAGCGGCCACCTGAATCCGACAAAATGGCGAAGCGACCGCTGCCCATGGACATCTACAATTGCAGATGCGTCGCCTACCCTTATCCGACGGAGGAGGAGACGCACATAAAGAGGATATTTCCTTTTCCTATGCATCTCCTCCATCGTCAAATCCACTTCCCCTTCCCATCCTCCCATAAGAAAAGGGTGGTAAAGAGAAAGGGACTTAAATTAGGCCTCCGGCACCACACTCATCAGACGAAACACGGCATTAGTTCCATTTCACGCCTGTCTTCTGTATGGTCGTGATATTACACCGGGCGTGCCGGCCCATTCGTGCTAGATGTTAAAGCGGGCACTACCACTGTAGTACCCGCTGTACAGTATACACTGTAGAGTTTTATAAGATTTTTAAGTTTGACGTGAGTTTGACACATAGCACGATATAATCTTTGGTCCTATTGTCGTAATCGTTCGTCTATTCGCCACTTCGTGTCATAGTTTTGTGTTGATTTGGTTGGGGCGTTGTAAATGTAAAAAAGTCGAATAATGTGCATTTATTTAATCTTTACGTTTTATCGCCGTGCATAGCAACAATAAAAACAAACTATTTTAGAACACAAACTGTAACAAACTCTGAAAATGCTGTAAAACCTTGTTCTAAAAGTATAGTTCTGCAGTCTTGTGGATTGATTTTTCGAAAAGGTTTTGCAAAAACTAGTGATGCCGGAGCAAAGCAATGATTATCGTGTTGTAGTTTTTGGTGCAGGCGGTGTGGGAAAGAGTTCTCTTGTATTACGTTTTGTAAAAGGGACATTTAGGGAGTCCTATATACCGACAATAGAAGACACTTATAGACAGGTAAGAATAATTTTCCCTAAATAATCTAATAGGAATAATTATACATTTTGAATATGCAATATACAAGTTTACCTTATTTTTAACAAATTAAGTAAAAACGAGAAGAGTTATTCATAGAGACTTTGGGTCTTATTCAATACATTAATTGACATTTCGTCTAAAAATTAAGTAGGAAAATTTTTGATATTAGTGAATTGCACTGTAAAAAAACTTGTATATTTCAACCTACAATACATTATCTATTGTACTGGGTACAAGGCTCTTTGTACTTTTCAAATATGATTGTTGGGGCAGTCAAAAGGTTATGTTAAAAATGGTTACTTAAATATTTCCTTTTATTTGATGGTCCCTAATACCTCCCTTAGATTCAAAATGTTAGTTTGATTTTATTAAGTAAACTGACTATATGTTGCAATAGTAAATGTAATTTTGTTTATTGTGATGAAATAGTAAATTATTAATTACTAGCAGTTGCTAGCAACTTCGTTTACATGAAATTAAAAAAAAAAAATGCCAAGCCTATGTAGCTGATAATGTAGCTTTTTAATAATGAAAGAATATTTGTAATTAACCAAGAATTTGTGCTATTTCAATACATACAAAAATCCAAAAATACAAATCTTTCCTTTTTATAATAGTAGTATAGATTAATCTTATAAAGGATGTTGTATTCAATGTTGTTGCTGTTATTTATGATTTACAATCTTAAGATTGTGTTACAGCTGCCAAATATCTTACTAGACCTTGGCTGTGTTCCAATTGATCATATTAATCATTTTTACTTTTTTTATATTTTATCTACTACTGTGTTAACTTGGAATTTATTCTTGTATTGGTAGAAAAATAGAATTTTCTTTTTTACAGGTTATCAGCAGCAATAAAACAATATGTACACTACAAATAACTGATACCACAGGATCTCATCAATTTCCTGCCATGCAAAGATTATCCATAAGCAAGGTAACTATGCCTATGATATGTTGTTTATGGCAATTTTACACAATGCTTAAAGTAGCCTGTTTTTGTAACCAATGTTCAGTGGACTACAACAAACCTCTACTTTTTTTTAAATAAACATTTATTTACAATATAATCTTCTGTATTATAACTTGTATTTCAACATTTTCAGGGGCATGCATTTATATTAGTTTATTCTGTAAGCAGTCGACAGTCACTCGAAGAATTGAAGCCAATATGGCAGACAATAAAGGAAATAAAAGGCACTGAGTTACCAAACATTCCAGTCATGTTGGCGGGCAACAAATGTGATGAGAGTCCGGAGATTAGAGAAGTTTCAGCTGCAGAGGGTCAGGCACAAGCTCAGACATGGGGTGTATCATTCATGGAAACATCAGCTAAAACTAATCACAATGTTACTCAGCTCTTCCAGGTTAGTCATGTTATTTTTTAATAAAATGAAAATTCAAAGTCATGTTAGCTATAGGTCCACAATTTCAAAAGAAACTAATTTAGAAAAATTTGCCATACTATCAGCAATCATATCTGAATTCACTCCCTTTAGGATATCCTGTCACACAATTAAAGTAGACTTCAATTTTTATAGGAACTTCTGAACATGGAGAAAAATAGAAATGTGTCCCTTCAAGTTGATGGTAAAGGCAAAAAGAAAAAGGACAAGATAGTAAAGGAGGGAGAACCATCGGCCAGCGGAAGGGAGAAGTGTTGTGTTATGTAATACAGATGATGACCATTTGGATGTACCAAAGCAACCTTAAATGACAGTTGTGAATTAATAAGTGAGGTATGTATTAATTTTTTGCCACTTATTATGTTATCAACTGTATTACCATCTAGTTTTGATTCTAGTCATTAAATATGTCCCGGGAGATATGATCACGGAATTAAGTAATGATTTTAAATAAGTAGTGATAATATCAATATGCCTTAGACTTAATTTTCATGGACTTTTATGGTCACCTTCATCAAAATGTGTATATTTTGCTAATATTAATATTGTTTTATTTACACTAGTTATCGAATATTGACTGACGCAACATTATATGGGTGTGAAATCATTCCATGAGTGTTAAAATACAACGAAGAGTCTATAGGACTTGCTGTTATTCAATTGTACGCTATTTAATATATGTTAAATATTTATCTGAAAAAAATATTGCTACATTCACCTAAATTTTTGCATACTTTTAATATGAAGTTTAACATTTGATGCCTAGTTTTTACATGAATATGCAAGAATAATAATGTAATTTGATAAGAGTGATTCTGATATTTATTGTTGATAAATTGACCCAATTTTCATATAAATTGTAGTTGTTATAGTAGGTGCTAGTTCAGACTTCAGTGCGGTATAGAAATTGCGCAATTTCTGTTGCTTTTGTTATTTTTTTACACATTGTTCTCCGGTATTGTCATTGTGAGAAAAGATAATGGGTATGTGCCAAATTAGAAAGCAGTTTGTAGCAGTAGACAAGAAAGTTGTTTTTAGATGGAAAAATATAGTATGCATTTTAACATACAGACAAAATTGTTAACATTTCTTGTATCTATTATGTTGATTGAGTATGGTGGTCATTCATTATATTGTTTTTCCTTGATCTCATTAAAAAAAATCTTGCTTTAATAATTTAGCATTTAACCGTCTCACAATGACAGTAGTGTAAAAGGCTTAGGGTCTGTCCCACCACTGGCTGATAGAGGCTCAGATAGCTTATAAATGACATCACTGTCGGGTAAGGTAACAGAATCTGATATTTCCATCACACATTTTACATGGATTGTTATCAGACAATTTAGGATTTGGTGGGACAGGCCCATAATATATAGTGGATTTAAGCTAAATAAGCAATTATTTTATTTAACAATGTTAATTATAAGTTAGTTATGTAAATGAGTAGCAGTCGCTAGTTTATAATGCACTTTATTTAATATCATTCACTTACATATCCAATTAGTATTGTCCATAGTTTAACATTTTATCTAGTCAGTTGTTTGCTATTGTCGCGTGATCAAGTCATAGTGATGTTGGTTATTTAACTAGTATGTAGGTAAAGTTTTATGTGCATTAAGTGCTTATAAATATAAAATTAATATTAATGCAGCAAAACATTCAGTTTTGTTTGAAATTTAATTTATTGTTCTGTTTGATTTGTTTTCAATGTTAACAGTTTTAGCTTATTGGCATTTGTGACCATTTAGAATGTAAAAGATTGAATTAATTGTTAAACATTGAATTGTTGTAACTGGACCAATGTTGTTTGATGTTGATCGATGTAATGTTACCATAGGTTTGTTTACTTTGTACACATATTGTTTATAAGGTCCTTTTTATGTGACATATCGATGACGTCACTGAACCCTGTACAATAGGGTATGTTTGGCGAAAAACCTATAGGTGTTCTACTTACGTCATCGATGCTGATTGCCTGTATTTATTGTTGAGTAAAATCATCGAATATTAGTAATGATAATTTACATGCATCCGGTGAATTAAAAAGGTTAAAGAATTTTTACACAGATTTAAATATATAGGTCACCTTAGGACAATTATCATTAAATTATTTGCAAATTATATTGGAATCTTAGAGATGCCGAAAGTAACTATACAAGTATTTCTTCCCAAAATCATTTTGAACTTTTTGTACGTCCATCGTCAGTTTATAACCCACTGAGATGGTCGTGTCTACCCATTGTTAAGGTTGACTAAGCCATAGTCAACCATGCTGGCCCACTATTGGTTAATTTCATACATATATTTCAATTTCTAAGTAAGTAAGTAATTTATTAAGTTTGTATATTAGTATCTATATATTTAAATCTTTGTCACCACACACAAAATGCCTTAGTGAGCTTACTAGTGTCAATAAAAAGTTTTTTCTTGTTTAATTGTATTTTATAACAATTATTGTTAATTTTGAAGTTTTATAATATCCAGTATTGATAAAAGGTGCCTTAGGCTACCAAATGAGACACCAATATATGTTTTCTTGGATGTCTAATAGTAAATAAGGTTAAAGGTTGATGTAATGGGGCTGTTTCACTTTTTTCACTATCTTTTTTTTTTAAACTTGTTATTGTTTTTTTTTTTCGATGTAGTTCGCGTTTGCACATTTGCCTTACCTTATGTAATAGTTGTAGATATGTTATGGATCAAGTGATTAGAAAGTGTTTAGTATTTAAATAAGACCTAAAAGTATGTATTAGTGCAGAAAAATACCGTTAGTTACACATACAAGTACATAATAAAAGATGACAATAAATTACTTTTAAATAGTATTGGAAAGATGAAATGTTTGAAATATGAATTGATACTGGATTGAAATATGGAAGTTTCATCAGAAAGATGGTGTGGTGTGAATCGTCCCAACGAAAAAAAAACATAGAATCAATTGGCCCAATGGGAAAAATCTGATTGGGCTGATTGATGAAACACCTGAAAGATGTCAGATATATTAAATTGTAGCAAAACTTAACTTAAGGTGTTAATTATTGCTCTCAGAATGGGGTCAATGTTACTAAGGGAGGTTCTTAGTGTAGAATTGGTATAAAACTTCTAACACTAAGGTGCAGCTTAAGTTAATGTCTGCGGTAATAATAATTATTGGTTTTAATTTGCTTAGCAATTTATTGATCTCCTTTTTCTGTGTGATATTTTACTTTGAAAGCCATCATTGTAAGCTTAATTTGACGTTATAAAGCTTTTATTTGATTTTTTTACACAGTCGGTTTGGTCCATAACATATTTTAAAACCTTAATATTACTAATACCTTCATGTTACAGAATTATTGTAAATTCATTGTTTTAAATTAGTGCCACTTTTTGTCCCAAACGTTTTAAAACTACTAAAGCCAAGTTCGGTGCGATTTTCATGTAAACAACTCGAAATTATTCGCGTTTTCGAATTGGTTTTTTTTTTAATATTTGATATCAATATCCAAGAAATGGTTCAAAGTATTTTTTTTTAAATTCCGACATCCAAATAAGGTTGTGAAGCTTGTGCTGTTATTTCGCATCTAACTTGTCCGTAGTATTGTTTAAAAGAATGTTACCAGAAACTAAGAATTCATGTTTTTAAATGTATGTTTATCTTATTAGAACTAAAAAAGATGTTTCCACTATCAAAAGTATTATTATCTCTTTTTCTATTTCTTTTAAAAGACTATTCTACTTATTTTTTTTTAATATCTCAAAATAAAGGTCTGGTAATAAACTTCATTTCTTCTACAAGTTGAGCAATATTTTTATATGGCTTTTGTATAGAAATGGAGAAAAGAAAATGAAACGAACATCGAATAGATATTTAAAAGAGGGATAATGCATAAAGTGGGATTGTTAGAACTTAATTATAGAAATATAGTATTCATAGAATGTACTTAGGCGCTCTTGGTAACTTGAACGATTGGAATATTTAATTAAAAAAAATTAGCTAGTGTAGTTAATCTTATAATCTACTCACTTTGAAAACATGCAAATTAAAAATAAAGGTGTCAACACACAAGGCAATAATATACATAGTTTAATGGCAATTTATTACCTGTCGATTATTATCCTATATTCAATTAAATTAAGGCTATCCCCATCGTGTGATGCTGTTTTTTTATCGCACACCATTTTAAAGTTTTATCTTTAATATACGATAAATTTAGTATCTGCTTTATTACTATGTTCTGGTAATAAAATAACACATACTGGTGTATTGTAAGATTTATTACTAGCTTGTATTTACCAGTTGGTTGTATGAAACATATTCGAGCTAAATTTATAAATACCTCAATCTTTTTTTATCATCAGATTAAGCTGTAGCTATTTGACATAATTTACTGTAGCATTTTATTATATTTTTACTTAATATTGATATAAAATTATCAGCAAATAAATAAATATTATTACACAAATTATAGAATTGCTATCATTACAATTGGTGATGAATTCAATGGAAACAGTAAGGTATTCATTGTGTTACATCCTTGTATGGACATCTATCTTATGTATTCCTACAACTTCTATTACTACTCGTGCACAATAACATAGGAACATATTACTATGACGTCACAAGTTCAAATTTTAAAAATAATACTCGTAACGCCATCTATCAATACGCAATTATGAATTATTTTTTACTAAGAGTGTGTTATGTTATTGTGGAAGAGTAAGTCGTTTCTCTAAATTTTGTCTAATGCTTGTTAAAATTATTACCTCAAGTGTATCATAATTTACAAGGAAATAGCAAAAATGTTTCGACCAATAGCACTATAGATTGTAAGTACTGGGTTTAAGGTTAGATTTTGCTTAATATAAATACTGTTGTAATATTTTTTATTGTAATAATGCTTCTTACATTTGAACTGATTACTCCAATTATATTTTTTAATTTGTCTTAAAACACTTCTTACTAAAGCATCACAAATAAAAAAAATCAAATAACTTAGTCTTTTTATTTCTTAAAAAACGTACATTCATTTAATTTTTTCTTACAAATATGCATTACATATTATTTTTGACTACTTAAAAGATAAAAAAACAAAGGTAAGTTAAAAATAAATTAATATAATATGTGAAAGTGGGACACAAGCAATCCTTGAATTCTAATGCTTTCAATTAATTTAGATAAGAAATTCATTGTACATTTCCAATTAAAAAAACATCCCTATTAAATACAATTGGTACAAAATAATGCATTTCAGGGTTACATATTATTGCTTACACATTGTATATCAAGTTAATATAAAGACTGGTCAAAGATAAAATATTCGTGTATAAAATATATATCACAGTTAGTTAAAAATATTCTATATCTACAAAGGAATAGAAATATTAAAATTTTAAGCAATATTGAACACATTACAGAAGGAAAATTCATCACATACATGATTTCAGCGCAATTCTTTAAAATAATTCTTATCTTACAGAATCTAGATTTTGCGAAAGAGGACAAAAAAGCCTTGGTTAATTTATTATGAATGGTACACAGCACATTATGTCGTTTCCAACTCACTATACATCCCCAGAGGCGCTCAAAGCTTACCCAAGTTAGACTAAGAACATTATATCATCACCAGCTCACTATACGTCCCCACCGAGGGGCTCGGAGCCTACCCTAAGTAAGGGTAAGAACATTATATGCTTTTTATTAATTAATACACTAATTACAACCATTATTTTAGTGATTACAAAGGTATATTTCACAAATATTGGTACCAATATAACTTATTTAGGTTTAAAGTAAATTTATTGATCACTTTGCATCAACTGATCAATGGCACATAACAAGACAAAATTAATGAACTAAACAGTCAAAATAAAAATTGTTAGTCTCAGGTAGACATTAACTGGTTTTAAAACAAACTGATTAAAATACATTGCTACGCATCACCGCTACCATTTGTACTCTTTTTATTACGCTGTCTTATATTTTTCTTAACATTATTTTCAATAGCCAATCTATTATTACTAAACCATTCTCTTTGTAAATTAGGTAATCTTCCAGTACTAGATGATCTTCTTAATGTTGAATTTCCTGATGATTTAATTTCCAGTGTATTATTTTGTGCAACTCCATTGTGCTGTGTTGAAAGAGCTCTTGAACAAATATCTAACAATCTGTCCAGTGTTGGACCACTTATTCGATCAGCGTCATTATTTCTTGATGCCTCCTCATTATTAACAAAAGATCTATTTCGTGACTTCAAACCAATATTTATGAAACCCAGAAAACTAAGATTGAATGGTATATTAAGTATGTAATTAAAGATTATCATTATTAAAAGGAATATCAATAAAATGTTGAAGATAATTATCAAAAAGCCGAACATTATGTTGTTCAGCGGAAACCATAGACCATCTGAAAAAAAGACCATGAATATTACGACAGTGGCTAAACCTGACTTGCCATATTAAAACAGATAAAAAAAGATACAGATGAATTGAGTACCTCCTTTTGGGAAGTCTGTCAAAAAGAATGTCATTGGGTACACAAAAAAAATCATTACACCTGAGTTAACTTTAATTTTACAGATTTACTAGCTTTTCAGACAGACAGTGGTTAACATCTAAACCAAATTTCTATTAGATTCATGCAGCTGTTCTAAAGATACCTTCTAAGAAATGTCTATCCTTCTAAATGTTAAGTAAGATACAGCAAATTATTTTTTTGTTATCTTAATAACATCACAGTTTAATTAAAATCTTTACAGTGATTTAAGAATTTAAATAAAATATAATATAAACAAAATATATATAAAAATAAAATATAAATGATTAAAACCTTATGATATTTACCTGTAATACCATGAATCATTGTTTTAATGTTATCACTGATTATCAACATTGGTTCTGATATCAAAGTGGTTAATATCCTAATTCCAATCTTCAGAGGGTTCATGTGCTTCAGGAATACAAGAGGGTCGGGAGGTGGTACCTCACACTCTGATGACCAGAAGGTCCATTTGCATCGATTTATAGCTGTGAGGAATCTTTCCAATTCATGTTTTTCGGCCTCCTGTAAACCAAATAAGTATTTACAAAAAATATTAGCAGAATTGCCCAGTGAACACAAAGATGCTTTGTAAGTTTTTGTGATATAAGTAAAAAAAACTAAGTGTTCAAATGACCATCTACACATATCATAAAATTAGAGTGTTTGTAATATCAAAAGAAAAATTCCGGATTTCGGGAAGATGACGTATTTGTGTTGCTGATAACGAAAATCACATTAAAAAAATATTTGTCTGCCTGTCTGCAAGCCGCGTTTGTTCCGGGTAATCTCCGTAACGGCTGGGCCGATTTCGAAAGGACTTTTACTTTAGGGTAGTTGATATAGATGGGCACATTATAAGCTACTTTTTTTTAAATTCCGTGCTGTCAAAATGGTGTAACGGGTTGTCCTAATTTGTGCTAACGAAGTTTGCGAACTACAGCTTGTTATTAATAATATTGATCTCTAAGTTATAAATTATTCACTTGTTTTCAATTAAAATGTTTTGTGTGATCAAGAACAAAATAGTCCATATTTTCTGGTGAGTTCCCAAAAGAAGGTGGTTTTCAGTTGGTTTGTACTTAAATACATTTATTTGAGTTTAAAACCAGGAATATTTACATACCTTATAAGATACAAGTACTTCATATAAATAGAGTGCAGTAAACAAAATAATCAACATATGCTTGTGTGACATCCGCTTTAGAAGCCAAATCACAGCAAGTTTAACTGACAATGCTCCAAAGATCCATGTTATTTCAACCTGGAAAATTAAAATAGTTAGAGAAGATTTTAATGTCAGCTATTGTGTTAAGAAAAGCTGTACTTACTTTATATTGACTTAAATAAATTTGTATATACTCATTCCATGCCATTACAACTTTTTCTGTTATGGACGGTTTGTAAATTGAATTTTCTATATAGCCAATTGTGCGTCTAAAGTTATCTTCAGTTAATTGCTTTTCAGATACTGTGTATTCATTTAATAATGCCCACTGTTCCTCATTAAATTTCATTTGTAAAGCCACATCAACTGTGTTATCTTCATTTTCCTATAAATAAATTTAAGTAGTTAAGACTAAGACGATTAGCAGAGACCAGCAATAAAAAGTCATAATGTAAAGTAGTAATACAGTTTTTACCAATTTGGTCCTTAAAAAATAATTTTGAGAAAATTTTCAATAATTAAAAATCACTTTCGTGGTAATTCGGTTCAATTCGTTATTGTAAAGTATTGCCAAAAAGCTAACCTTGACTTGACCACCTTTTAATACTATGACTAGAATACGTTTAAAAAACCATTCGCTCATTCCAACGTTGTTTTCTGTATTTACAATTTTCTTCGGAATATGCCGAAGATCTGGAGGAATATTCTCGGAAAATTGAGAGGACATAAGATGGCTTTCATAGTCCCACGGATCCGGTCCTTTTTGTGAAAAGCAGCTGTTACATTTTAAATAAAATAGAAAAACTTGGAACCAGATGTTCTTCATTTGGAATCTTTGATAATCAAGGGAGATAATAATATTCACGTTAATGATAGTTATAAACGTTATAAATAAAAGAAACTACTAAAAATGGTATAACTTAACTATTACAAGTTAACTATATGTGTTTTATTGTTATTGAAATTAACATTTACGTGTTTTTGTCAGTTTGAAATCGAAACCAGACGTTAATGTCATTGTCAGTGTCAACATGCACAGAGTAGAATAGAGTATTCATTTATGGTCAGATGTCAACTCTTGTGAGATTGTTAGGGTAACAAGTGGTGTGGTAATGGAAGACATAGTGATGAAGCCTAAAACCAGCACAACGAAAACATCGAATTAAGCAAAATTATGTTAAACAACTTTTTATGTTATTTAAATTGTTCTTGTGTAAATCGGTTGATCTTATATTTTTAGTGGAAAAAGAAAACGCAACTTGTCGGCATAATTTTCATTCGTACACTCCTACTCTGTGTGGTATCTTTTAACAAGACATTGACATATCTACTTTATGGTTTTGGTTTGTCCTTTTTTTCGATTTCAAGCAATTTAAGCAATAGTTTAATAGTTTAATGGTTTCTTTGGTGTTTGTTATCATTTGTTGTAATTTCGGAAGCTGATTATTGGATTAATATTTGCCTTTTCTGACCCACTTGATAATGACTTCTATAGATCTCGATCCATCCATAAAACTGTGCCTGAAATATTTGCACTCCAGCGCGCCAGATTCAACAGAACAACTTAGATTAACTTTTGATGATGTTCTCGCACAAATCTACGGCAGTTCGAAAACCCTTGGTAATGTTTTACCTAAGAAATATTTGGCTGAAGAGAAAATGGAATCAACATCACGATCGAAACATAAGAGTGATAAATCAAGAACGGTTCCTATAGCTCAGCAGAGTCCCCAACAGATTCAAATACCGGAACGTGAAGATGATGACGGCTCTGTAATGGATGGGGAATTAGCATTTAACCTCTTGGAAGAGGACTTGACTTGTGCTGTATGTCGGCAGATTGCAGTTCAGGCTGGAAACCGCTTGGTTGAGTGTGATGCTTGCCATGCTCTCTATCATCAGGTGAGCATAGACATACTATATCTAGTGATTTTGTTTATGTATTCTATGTTAGTAATTATAGAAGTATATTAAAACAGCATTTAAATATGTAACAGCCGACATAGCTGAAACTCCAAATTCCATTAAAATTGTAATATCCATCAAGCAGCACTTACAATGTGTTTAAGAGCTTTCAGTTTTAAGATATGTAATATAAATCTATTATAAAAAGCACTTATTTCTTATAGTAAGGACTGGACTATTAATAGCTAAATCTTGCTTACAGAAGCCAACTTAAAGCCATTTATAAAATCACTGTAATGTCATTTTTTTGCTCTTTAGACTATGCCTTATAGTTCTTTCACCATTAAAAAATGTTTAATTGAAAAGAACAACACTAATTATTTTTTATATTTCCAGGATTGTCATAAACCAGTTATAAGTGACAATGATATGGGGACAGGATGGCAATGCGCATCATGTCTTTCATCCCAAGGCTTTGCTGCGGGTTACTCTAGCAAGACATCTTCATCTTCTAAATCACCTTCTCATGCGTCTGGATCCACTACCCCAGTGAAGATATCCTCGAGCAGCTCTGCATCATCATCACCATCCAAGATAGTTACACCAAACATCAATATAATCACTGCTGACAAGAGATTACAGATTATGAAGAAAAAAGCCGCAAAACAACATGAAAAAAAGAAATCTAAAAATTAGGAAATAATCAAGTTGTTTTGTTCTTTTACTAAATTAAATGAATTATAGCTTAAATTATTTTTTTACTTTAAAGTTATTATTTGAATTCCTATTTGCCTCTTTATCCACATAAAAATGTACGTATATGTTGATACTATATTGCAACAAACCTATCGCCAGGCAATAATTTCTTGTCTAAAACAAACTCGTCAAAAACCTCCCTACAAAACAACTCGTACGACTTTTTATGACTAAATCAATGTTAAATCACATCTATATAGATAAAAAATCTACTCGACTATATTTAAGTACAAAAGCAAGCACTGTTGAATAAATTAAGCCAGTAAAATAACAGTAGTATAGTAGTGTAGTAACAATAGTAGTGTAAAATAACATAGTATATGCGTGAAGTAACTGAATTCTGCGCCAGACTGAGTGAAATGCTGGATAGATAGGAGAAAATGATGTACGATAGAAGAGGTTTGAAAGGAAAGGAAATTAATATGGAAAGGATTTGCTCTCGTGATTAGACAATCCGTTATTGCAAAAACTTATGATTTTTAAGACCATTAAAGTCCCCAATTACCAATAATACAAGTGAAATAAAACAAAGATCAACTATACGCGCATCTCGGTATAATTGGGATTAATACAAGTTTATAATAATTTTACAAATATTACTGGGTCATACCAACGACTGTATTATGATAGAAACGTGATTATTATTACTACAGTGATCACCAAGACACCCAGATGTTAAATTGACAACCTTATGATTATCGCAACATAAATGCTCATTTTTGTATTTTGGCAAGAAAATATAAACGAAACAGTATCTCCTATTTTACACTTCTAAAAGCTTTGCGTAATACTTTAAACAGATATATGTTGCGTACACATATAAAGTATACATAGTGTTTTGTTTGTTTTAATGAAACAGGAGCTAAGAGCATCGAGCAAGATATTTTCTGGGTATTGTAACCAATCGGGATAGTGGTCGTCTGCCATTGGGCGATAGCTCCTGTGGGCGGACAGGGATACGGGATGCTGGGAAATGTTTCGCTCGATCGGCAACTTTGACTCTATTTCTTAGAGCTTTCGGTTTACGTTCAAGTTTTAATATGATACAGAACAAGGGGTATTGTAACGCCTATCAGCTTAGTTTTTCGTTTAGTGAGAATCTCTCGACTTTTTCATCGGTATTACTTTCAAGGCGGAGTGTTGTGTGGGCGGTTGAAAGTTGTTATTAAAATAAAGGATATTAGTGATATTGCATTTAAGTTTATGTGGATTTTAAAGTTGTGACGATATTAAACGAGGTGTATGTGAGAACATTGATAATCGAAAGTGAGTCGTTTTATTAAATTTTTCAGTTTTACGTCATTTTTAAAAATTAAAGAAAAAGGTAAATCTCCAAATAACACATTAAAGTATAACTTTCAACTCATAGACCAAGTTAATTGTAAAATATCGATTCATTGTGTTGTTTCCCTGTGCAACCGTGATACCGATCTTAAAAGCCAACTAACACCATAAATATCGTTAAACAAATATATCTTCTATCGAATTTTCATCTCTGTTAAAAATATATACATGTGTTTTTACTTACCAAACCTTCCACCATCATACTTCCGTTGGTAATCTAAGATAATAATATTTGGTTAATGCGGTTTTTCAATCAGTTAACACGATACAAATTACGTCTACCATAAAAGTAATAAGCTATGGTGTTTAAGTAGGAAGAACCTTATTGACTATTTAACATTTACTTAATTGTAGCTAAAGAGATAAGATAAAGGATGATGAACAGCAGTAGAGCGCGGGTGCCAAAATGCGCTCGGTGCAGGAACCACGGCCTCATCTCCAGCCTGCGCGGTCACAAGAAAGCCTGCGCATACCGCCACTGCCAGTGCCCTAAGTGCGGCCTCATTAAGGAAAGGCAACGGATTATGGCTGCACAGGTAAACCTTCACTAAAAGATAAGCAAGAATCACGTATTTTTTGTTTGATTGTAACATCATTAAGGGTCCTTGCAGACTGGTAACTTATTATCGACCGATAGTTCGATCGAATAGGCCGATAATTTACATTAGTTATGAGTGGAAGGGTACACCGGTAGAGTTAGACCTAGAAAGAGATGGAAGGATTGCGTAAAAGGTGACATGATCAAGAAGGGAATGGTGACTGAGATGACGGATGATAAAGTTACGTAGAGGACAAAAACCTGTTGCGCCCAACTTACGGGAGTAGGATAAGGAGAAAGATGATGAAGTTCGGTCGGATCGACTGTCATTCACATCGACACATTCAATTAAAACAAAATCCGTGTAAATTGCACACCTTTATATATGATCACATTGATTAAGCGCCCGATTAAATGATTAGTCGATTAAAACTCGATAGTCTGTGAGGGCTCCAACTTTGAGATATCAAAAATTTTCATAAATGCATTCTTTCACTGACACATTTTACTTGCCTCATCATGAGTTTAATCGCTATAAGTATTTAGCGAATGTCGCTATTATTACATATTTCCATTAGGTATTATACCGTTTAAAAATACACTGACTTTTTAATATTAGTCTTTAGTAAACAAGGCTTAATTTTCCTAGCATTTTCATGTAGATCTGGACCTTTTTACGATATAAATAAAGTGTTCTTCTTTTGGTTTTCAACTTCAAAAAGTAATACTGTAATCGGCGTCAAGATTAGAATAAATGTTTATAAGTAGCGTCGATATTTATAGCATCAGGTGAACCATTCATTTCCTTTCTTCTCTTATGAACCGACAAAAAAACAATAGTTCAAAATTCGAATAATTTGGAACCAATACTTCTTCCTATTACAGAAATAACATGCAATGTAAAGGCGTTAATGTGTTTTAATGTAGTGAAATCGAGACCGGCTAATGCGTTTGGTTTATTTGAACAAGTGGCACGTGTTTACCGCAGACGCCGGATGAAACATCGATCGGTTTGTACAGTAATGCATCGTTCATCGTTCTCCGCTCTCCGCTCTCGATGTCCCACCACCTTCATCCCGAGGAAGCGCCGATCCATTCATTTTCATATACTCTCCAACTCAATATCGAATTACACGTGTAAACTTAAAAGCTAATTTTAACGATCAGATTTTTTACTGAGGTTTATTGTTTTAAGTTGAAACGTTTTTTTAATTTTTAATAGTTAATCTTTACAAACATTTGGTATAAATAATGTATGTTAGTTCTTTTTTTTTAAGAGAAGACTCTAACATATTGGTATTCCATCCAAGTCCAGTTGTTATTTGATTAGAGTTGGGATCGAGTTTTATTTATTTTGTCAATTAGGCAACGCCGGCGCGAGCCCCGGGCTCCTGCGCTCCCCGGGGTGACCGCTTACCGCAAACACAAATATTGCCTGTTTGTCATTGATTTTCCGCTAAATTAGTTTATCTAGATCAAATTACCTATCACTCACTGTCCGGTGTACAGAAACTTTTAGAGATCATTTTTGATTTTGTGTCAGTAAGCTAAAAAAGATTCTATGCGAGATTTTAACACTTGTTTACGTACTTTTCGCAACACGTTTCTTTTTTTTTCTCATTGAAATATTCGCACACGTAATCAATTTCCACTGGCGAATATTTTTGTCTGTAATTTTAGGATTCGATTTTTCTTTATATCTTCGTGAATTTTGTACAGAAAAAAAAGATTTCAACTTTTTTAAATATAAATTTCCATTGTCGAAATTTCATAGAAACGTATTATTATCTCTGGTTTTTAGCAATAGAATCTCACGAATATTCAATATAAACGGTTGTGATAATAGTTGCTACGAATGGTCAGGTTAAATTAAAAAAACTACATTCAAAGCACTTTACCAGGTAGCACTGAAGAGGCAGCAGGCGGCGGAAGACAAAATAGCGTTGCATCTGGCGTCAGTAGAGAGTGGTACAGCGTTAGAGACATTACCACCAGGGCGGATTTATGGCATGCGGGTCACAGGACCTTGCCCAAGTCCGGGACCCGAACCAGATTCTGCCCACGAAGACCAAACTGTAAGTAGAATTGATAGCAGAGCTCTTTCGAGCAAAAGACTTTTGGCTGAAGGATTAATTAATTTTAAGATAATTAGCATACCTATTTTATAGCGATGACATATGACTCTTACTACTATCTAGTATTGTCATTAACATATTATTTTGTTTAATGGTCGCAGCCTATCCATATAGACAGCGAGACCAGCGATTCCCTGCCGGACTGCGCGTCCCCTGACTCCGCGGGCAGTGCCCTATCAGCCAGACCACGGTAATTAACAATCCGATTTCTATTATGAGTTCATTTAAATCTTTCACAATCCCGAAAATGTCTGAATTAAACCATACATCATTCGTCAAATTGGTTTTCTCATTCGGTTTACACAAGTTAGCGTTCGAGACAAAAGTCAACGCACTTGTCGGGGATTATGATTTAATGGTTGGTTTGTCACAGATTGATTGCTGATGTTTGATTATTTTTTCTCATTATCTATCTCTTATTAGTCTCCAAAATGAAGATACGGCAGAAAGCGAAGGCACAGTGAGTACGGCGGGTATAGAGATGCTGAGGAAGTTGTTCCCGGGCAAGAAACGATCTGTCTTAGAATTAGTACTGCGACGGTGCAATCATGACTTGCTGCGGGCGGTTGAGCATTGCAATGCTATTCATGTAAGTAGATTTTTTATTAGTAATACGACTTAGGGTCCTTCAAGAAGCGAGCCTATCATTTCTTCAAATACCGGCAACGCATGCATAGTTCCTCTGGTGTTACGGATGTCCATGGGCGTCGTTGACCACTTCGGAGATCTCGCCGCTCGTTTTCCCCCTTTTATAATAAACCGGCTTTTTAATTTATTTTGAAGTGATATTATTCTCTATATTTTTTATTTATTTTTAAGACTAAAAATGTGTAACGTTTTGAAATATAAACTATATAAATATATATAATATTAACTAACTATCTGTAGTTCCTTTCTTTCCTCTTAGACTGCGTTACAATTCAATTAGCTTTTCTTCAATTGGATATATTAGAAACTAGAACGGTTAATAAAAATATAATTTTCTTAGGGTCAACACGATAAGGTGTCATCTCTCGGCGCCGGATCCAGTACTAGTTTCGAAACGTCAGTATCAAGTTCTGAGGAAGTTGAGTCTAGATGGTCCGCTTTCCGTCCCGTCGGTCCCCGGGCACCGCTACTGCCGGCTTTAGTGATGGGCCGAGTCTGCGGCTCGGATTGGCTGGTGCCATTGCCAGCGTTGCCGGCTCTAAGCACTCCGTTACTGTTTCCTTTACAGCATCCCCACGGACCCCAAGCTCCCTGCAACCCATGTTCTCCTGATTGCAGACAATGTAATCGCCATTAATATTAGTTATTGTATTCTCGTCTACGTGTTATCTTTCCTTTCCTTATCTGTCTTCCCTTTTTTCTACATGAAGTTATTTCATGTCTGTCTTTCAATAATCTGTGTTTTAATTAGCTTTTATTTGTATATAATTAATGTTTTAATCGATAATTGTGTAACTTGTGATATTTTAATGCCAAAGAATTTGTGGACAATCGGTTCATTGTAATAAAAATAATTCGAATAATTAAAAATTGTGTTTTGTTTTTTCATTATACTGAATTTTAATCATTCCGATGATCCTAATCCTAAAAGCAGATTTGGCAGAGTAGTGGACTTATAGATAGGGGAAATGTCCTCTTTGTACATCCCATTTTTTAAAGCAACAGGGAATAAAAATAGTTGACATAAAATCACGTAGTCGGGGCTGTAAATGCAAGGAATATAATTAGTTAAGAAAATAAAGCGGGTGTCTGCGCACGGCCAGCAGCTATTATCATAGACAGTAACTAATACGAAACAATCCTCTTAAATAAAGATGAAAAGGACACCCACTTATTTCTAATATAATAAGTAAACATAGGAAAAGAGGGTTTAGGAATAAATTGGTTTAATACAGTGAATGAATTCTCAGTGACCTTATAAATAACTCTGTGAGAATAGACACTAATTTTGCTTGGAAAACAGAGTAATCCTTTTTTTGTTAATTATTGAAACCATAGAGTCGAATAGAAAAAGAGAGAAGCAATTTGACTTTTTGTGGTTTCCTTTTGCACCAACCGAGATTTGAAGCCAGTTTTTCAATATACCAGCATTAAAATATATATGTGTTCAAAGACGAACTTTCAGTTACCTTATTCACAGTATACCGTCGTCGTTGAATTTAGGTATGACAGTTATTATGTGAAGTTAATTAAAATACAATGCGTTGTCTACACAGTCACAGTTTTACTCACATTAAACACAAGCTGGTCACTACAATATAATTATAACCTACAAATTAGTGTCAGTTATAATAAAAATTTATAGTTCCTACTCAATTGTTTACAGATAAATATGATTTATGTATTTTTAGTTGTGTTAATAATATTTTATATGATCTGCGATGTTAATTATTTTGTGAGGACGCTGTTTACGGTTTGGAGCAGCAGAATGATTCGGAATAAAAAATATCCCACACTTAGTGACGTCACAACTGTGTACGGTAAGAAGTCAACTGTTGATTTAATTTTTAAGTTGTACATTTAAAGTTAACCTTGGCTTCAAGGTTCTTGAAGTCAATTATCTTGTTTTTTTTTCTATATATTCTCTTGTGCTTTACAAAAAATAACATTATCTACTCTTTATCGATTGCAGGGATATGTACATTACAAGACTGCGATATTTGGTTTGAGAATTTACGTTTAGCGAGACTTGTACGAGACTTGGATTTTGCACGCTACCACTTTTACGATCAGACGGGAATTTACCAGCGCAGTTGTCAACTGGGTATACATTCTCTCCAGGGGTCTACACTGACTGTGACTTTGTCTCCTATACCACTGTTTGCGATTTACAAAATCAACACTAAGGTACTTAGAACTATAATCGATTATCCCAGAGAACGCTACCCAGCCTTTTTGGTTATACATACATTTTATGTTTCTTTCGAATACGACAACTTAGTACTGCTATCTAGTTTGTAATATAAAATAAACTCTAATTAGGGGATGGACAGACACCAAACACGTCTTAGCGGTCCATCTTTATTTTATTTAGAATTTATTTTTGCAGTTGGTGTATTGGGATGAACGTTCACTATTTTTCGAACACGAAGTAGTGACAGTACGTGACAACGAAGTGCGATCTCTTCTAGTGTCTCGTCAGTACGCCATAAGAAACTCAGATGCTTCCACCACTAATCTCCTGTTGGAAGAGTTACCAGGATCGCAGAGTAAAACGACATGTCCGGAGTATGTTAAGAGCTGGTTGGATAGCATGGAAATTAGTAGCGCGAAATTGAGAATTGCAACTAAAGATAAATAAAAATACTTTATAATACTATTTGCGTTAAAAGCAATTCAAACGACTTGATAGTTTTATTAGTGTCCTGCCTAAGATTTAGATTGCTGGTGGGAAGGTTGTTCTATCAGGAATTTAAGTAAATTAATCTGCGGTACAAGAATGCGTTTGGAGTAGTTAATAAAAAATCGTAATATTTAGATATTAGTTAACTATGCGATTTTCGTTATTAGCAACGTAAATACATCATCTTCCCGAAATCTGGAATTTTACCTTTGATTTTACAAACAGGCACTCCAATTTTATTATATGTATAGAAGATGATTGCTGCAGGCTTCCCTATAAAATAATGTCTCATCTATTAACTTCAACGTCATTAGTAAATGCATATAACTTAATAAATGAGGTTATAAAAAATTGTATAATCAAATGAATAGAAATAATGATTAGGTTTAAATTTACATTTTAAATAAAATTTTACTTGAATCTGTAAAATAGATATTTCAAAAACACTATTTGTGCTTATAATACTTTGTTGAATCGGCACAACTATTTTTCATGTGATCGACAGATCAAGGTCATTGACCTGCATATTCTTATTTGAAACGCATACGAGTTTATAGAACATAATATAAGATGCAAACGCAACATTACACCTGACGATGCATTCCGTGACTAACTTCAGACGGTAAACAAGTTCATCGACTTAGTGGGGACAGAATATACCATACGTCATCGAGTCGTTTCCGCACTTAAGGCATCACAATAAAAAATATTCAGTTATCAGTTGGACATCAAACCAAGTGTATTATCAACGTATTAAAAATGTTTTGCGCGATACTAGCATTAGTTGCACTTGCGTATATATTGTGGGACGTTAATTACTTTCTTAGAATTGCCTTCACAATAGTAACAGGAAGATTGTTCCAAAAGAGATGCGGAATCAACGATACTACAACAATTTACGGTAAGTTAACGGTACATTATAATGTAAATAACTAATAGATAACGGACATATTCCGTGCTAAAATGTAGGGTATTTCAAATTTATAAAGTTTGTTTATTAAAATAATCACTAGACGTTATAAAATGTAAATGTTTATACAAAGAATTACATGGAACTTATTCGATATTATATTATTTGAGATATTGAGAATGGGAGGAAAGTCGCTTGGCTTATAAATACAAAAAACTCTTTTTTAATGATTTTTTAATTACGTAGTCATGACTATTATAATAGCTAATTGTGAGGTGATTTTTAAATGCATGTTTATTTTGTCTAAGAATTTAGAAAAAGAATGTTAAACATGTAAAGAAAGTTACAAGCACACGATGTAATTTTATGCGATTTTCTGACCTCCGCAGTAGGCTAGAACAAAATTTGCTTAAAAACTGAAAACGTTGTACTATCAATTATATAAAATATACAATGACCATTGTATGCAAAGTTTGTAAAATTACTTAAAAATGACATCACTGTCAGATAGGGTAACGAAATCCGTATTTTTTCAGACAATTTACAATTTGGTGTGACCGGTCCTTAATAATTTATTTTTTGCACTAGAACATAAGTGTATTTTTAGTTAATTAATTAAGTAATTTCTGTTTATTAAATTGTAGTTACAAATTTACCCGTACAAGACTACCGCAGACTACATCTACTAAATATACTTTATCGGCCCATAGTTTAGTCAGTATGAAGGTAGAGGTACGCACATTACACCGATTGGATTTTTTTTTTATAACATAAGGTGGCAAACGAGCAAACGGCCACCTGAAATCGCCAAAATGGCGAAGTGACCGCTGCCCATAGACATCCGCAATTGCAGATGCGTTGCCTACCATTATCAGACGGAGGAGGAGACGCACATAAAGAGGATATTTCCCCTTCTTATGCATCTCCTCCACTGTCAAATCCACTTCCTCTTCCCATCCTCTTTTTATAAGAAAAGGGTGGTAAAGAGAAAGGGACTTAAATTAGGCCTCCGGCACCACACTCATCAGACGAAACACGGAATTGTTTCCATTTCACGCCTGTCTTCTGTGTGGTCGTGGTATTACACCGGGCGTGCCGGCCCATTCGTGCTAAGATGTTAAAGCGGGCACTACCACTGTGAATTTAGCTCAACATCCCGACCTGATCAAAATATCTGCCGAAAAGTCTATAGTCTATGGGGACTCTTAGTATATCAATTAGTAGACATCAAGACTAATATTCTAACACGATTTCCAGGTTTTTGTACAACACAAGATGTTGATATATTCTTGAAGCATATGAACAACGCTCGCTATGTCCGTGAACTGGACTTCGCCAGGTTCCACTTCTACGATAGAACTGGAATTTATGACAATATCAAAGCAGCCAAGGGTCACGCGTTGCAAGGCGCGTCTAGCATACGATACAGAAGGACTATTCCAATATTCTCCTTCTATAAAGTAGAGACAAAGGTAATTGAATTGAGCTTTTTCAGCTTTCAGCTTTTATCAGTCGGTAACATAATTTAGTGCTACACAGAATCGTCTAATATTTAAATCATATGTTCTGTCTGATTGTGGTTTAAGAAACTGTTTTGTGTACAACAAGGCCACGGATTATTCCGTTTAGTTGTTGTGTAAATAACCTTTCCTCTACATTTAGTTTTATTTAAAAGGTAATTTTATTTTGTTGTTATGTTCAATTATTTTTTCTTGTAATTAACCATACAACGATTTAAGCCGTGATTATTTTTATTTCTTTATTTACTATATGCGGAAGTTGCTGGCCAGTTAATTGAAGACATTTTATTTATACATGTTACATGCTCGGATAATGTAATCTTTACTTTAACTAGTCGCTAATGGATACGTTCATTGAATATTCCGATTAACAGAATATCTATTTGTAAAAGTAGCTGTTGCTCGCGACTTAGCCTAAGTGAAATTAAAAAATAATGAAAAATATAACCTATGTTACTCACAGATAAATGATCTTTCTAACTGTGAAAGAATTTTTAGAATCGGCTTATAAATAAAATAGGTTTAATAAAATAAAAATAGGTAAATAAAATAGGTTTACGTGAATCAAATACACACAGAAATCCAAAAATACAAATCTTTCCTCTTTATTGTATTAGTATAGATAACTATACCATAATTAAAACGTTTGAAATATTAAAACTTTGTGAGATTGTTTTTTACCGTCTAATTTCCCGCCCGTCGGGTGGCGTTTCTTGGGTTAAATAGAGCTAGGATAAATTCGCGGTCTGTCGCACTGTCCTTACATGTGAACTAGACCTTTATTATATTAGTTGAATATGTTTGTTTACAGCTGGTGTATTGGGAGGACAAAACGCTTTTCATCGAACAAAAGTTCATCACGACTAGCGACGGGTTCGTCCGTGCTATTGTGTTGTCTCGTCAAAACCTTTTGGAAGTGGACGCAGCGAGGCTGTTCAAAGATATACCCGGTGCGGACAGCAAGCCGGAATGTCCTGAGGAGATCCGCCACTGGTTACAATCTATAGAAATATCCAGCGCACGGTTAAGAAAGAAGGATTAAAAGATGCCGAAATATGTTTTCGTGCGGATTGTACGGAATACGTAAACTTATTTTCTTCAGGGCTGTATTTTTTATGTTATTGTTTGTGACACTTTATAAAATTCTCTCTCTCTCTCTCTATTAAGGTATCTTATTGTTACTAATGAATTACTACGTTATTTATTTAAAATGTAAGAAAATTCAGTAGTTTTCCTTCGGTCTTGAAAACGTGCTTATTTTATTATCAATTTTTCGTTTTGGTGTTGTATGATAGTATTAAACGTTAAAAGTGTTCTTGTTTTTTTATTTAAGAAAACATTCCCCTAATTAAAAATGTGACACAGATGGTGAAAAACGGCAGCCATCAAAAGTATCGTATGTCAGTGTTGTACCGAAGGGTATTGACTTATTTTTTACGGAACTTGTTTATCATGAATACCAAGTTTGAAATTAACTTTATAGTTGTAGCAGATTATTATTGAACTTATTTTATTTTATTTATTCTAATTAGTGTTTGCTTAGTTTTTTTATGCATCTTCATTTATGTGATACTAGCGTTAGCCTGTGATACCGTAGTGCGAAATAAAAAAAAAGTGAGTAGTTTATGTGTTCTCGCAGACTGTGCTTAATCTTTGTTCTACATCTGTGCCAAATTTCATTGAGGTCTGTTGACTCTTTGAAGACATCTAACAAACATCCATTCATCTAAACTAAAATATTTACAAGATAATATGCAGCGGCTTATTACTTATTACATCTACTTAATTAATCATTCTCCTAAACCAGAGACAATACCTGTTTTAGTATAGTTGTTTCACCAGTGAAAACCCGTAGATATGTTGACATATGTTTGCGTTGCGAAGGAATGTTTTGAGGTAGGCCGGGAATTAGGCTGGCTCTCGTAAGGGTGGTATGAAATAAGAAAAACGACCACACACGCATTGTACACGACTTATACTCCGATTAAGCTGTTTTGATACTTTAGAGAGAGTGCGTAAAGTGGAATTGTGATTTTTAAATAATAAAAGCAACTCAAACAACATTGACGTCTACTTACTGCAGTAATAAGTGATTTGTAACAAAAATCTAGAATATCACCAATGTATTGAATTTCAACATTTTTTACTTAACTTCGAAGTGATTTGTGCATCATGTTTTCATTTCTTTACATTTGTTAAAATTTATCTTGCAGATGAATTAATTTCTTACATCTAAAGATAATATTGAATGTAATTGCATTTTTTTAAATAAAACATTCCCCTAATTAAAAATGTGGCACAGATGGTGAAAAACGACAGCCACCAAAAGTATCGTATGTCAGTGTTGTTATAGTATCATAATCAACGTAATAACAGAAATCTACCGATGCAAGATTCCAATTTTCTAAGCTCGGTAGCTTCTAAGCTGATTTTTCGGTTACCCTTATTGCTTGTGTTCGCGATATCTTCTAAACTAATTTAATTATTCAAGTATCTTGATGAGGGAGTCGCTGTAGCAATGGTGGCGCTAACCGACCGCGTGCGTCTTGTCGCGTAACAATAATAAAATATCCATTAGCTGTAGTGTTTTCGGTGATTTTAAATCGTGTGTTACACAGATATTTTTGTTTTGTAATATTTATTTAACTTCGAACATTTTATGGAAAGTTCAAATATAAATTAGTTTACAAAAAATGTAACGACATAAATATAAAATAGCTTACAGCAGCAGCTTAATGAAAGCTTTTGCCCGCAACTTCGTCCGCGTGAAACTTGAAATTTCAAAACTTACGTTCGCTCTTTTTTTCAACCTATTACTAAAAGTATTAACTTAGTATAGTATCATAATCAACGTAATAACAGAAATCTACCGATGCAAGTTTCCAATTTTCTAAGCTCGGTAGCTTGTAAGCTGATTTTTCGGTTACGTCGTGACTGCCGTAATTAAAATAATATTTATGAGTAGACAATAAATAAACAACTCACCAATACCATCAATCGCTTTATATTAAAACACAGCGTAGTGGATACTCGTAACATTTACAATAGTTATAGTTTTCTTTCATTAAAAATATTTTTCCTTACACTGTAATTACAGGCTGTTCTTTGAAGTAGTTAATGTCTGTAAACAATGATCATAAATCGCCATAATTTAGTTCAATCCTTTTTTGAATACAAAATCATGGTCGTATCAGAACCGTAGTTATAAATTATATCGTGGTGGTTCCGTAGTGTTAATATTTGAAAGATAAACTGTTACAAGTTATGTAGACGAAAAGAGTAAATTAAAACATAAGCATAAAGTACAAGAAATTTGGATTAACGAATAAACATTACAAGCTCTTCAATTGCAAAGCAAATGTACAATTTTACCTGAACAGTGACATATTTGGAAGCAATTCCGTGTTTCGTCTGATGAGTGTGGTGCCGGAGGCCTAATTTAAGTCCCTTTCTCTTTACCGCCCTTTTCTTATAAGGAGAGGATGGGAAGGGAAAGTGGATTTGACGGAGGAGGAGATACATAGGAAGGGGAAATATCCTGTTTATGTGCATCTCCTCCTCTGTCGGAGAAGGGTAGGGACCGCTTTTGCAATTGCGGATGTCTATGGGCAGCGGTCACTTCGCCATTTTGGCGGATTCAGGTGGCCGCTTGCTAGTTTGTCACCTTTTGTTATAAAAAAAAAAACCGTTTGTCCATTTACATATCTACTTAAGCGCTAGATTCAGTTATTGTAAAAACAATCGTAATTTGAATTTCTAAGCTCTAAGGAACCACAAAGAACTTAATTGTTTTAGTAAACACCAAAGCTGAAGCGTTCATATACTTCAGTGAATACAATTCAGTAAAACTTATCGTAAAGCAGTGGCTACTTGTTTTATCCTAATAGTTTGGTATTTTAAAACAATCATGATTACACTGAAATCTACTCTAACGCCGATCGAAATATTACTTCAAACTATTCTGTACAGATATTTCCAATCTTCATACTGCATCGCTTTTGTTTCTAGTGAATCGTTACGATTTGATTATAACAAAACTTTTGTTTATATTGATTCGGAAGAAAGAAATATAACTGACAATTTGCTTGAAGTTTCCGAAATAGGATGTTTAGATTACATAGTAAGAGTAAAAAATCCCATGGATTTTATAAAAGCCTTCGATAAAGTAGTTCATTTTGGTAATACTCGGAAAAGTGACAGAAAAATCGTATATTTACCTGGATCTTATGACGATGACGTAACTGGGAAATTGTTGAAGGTTTTATCGGTGAAGGAAACTTCTTTTGTACCAAATGTTCTGATAATAGCACCATCTTTTAACCGGTCATGCGAATCTTATGATTTGATAACGCACAAATACGTCGGACTGTCAAACCACAGTCATCCTTTCTATTTAGATACATGGAATTCTTGCACTAAACAATTTTATAAAAATAGTAATTTATTCCCTCATGACATGTCAAATATGTTTGGAAAGGTAGTCAAAGTGGCTTGTTTTACTTACAAGCCTTATGTTTTATTGGATTTAAATACAACGATAGTTCCCTTCGGTCGAGATGGAATGGAAGTAAGGATTATTGAGGAATTTTGCCGGTGAGTAAAAAACTAAGCACTTAAAAATTACGAGATTATAGATATTTTTGATAAAGATACAACTGAAGTTTGAAATCCCTACTACCTACTTCTGACAAATTATACCGTTTTGCTTTCATGGACATAATATTGTATTTATTTATCTTCATATTACGAGATTTTGTTTTTATTTCCTACATAAAAGGAAAAAAACAGCAAAAAATATGAACGTATTACAGTCGTAAGTGACGGAATAATAAGGCTAAGGTTTTCACTGCATTTGATTATTTGTTTCAGATGGATAAACTGCTCAGTGGATATAATAAGAGACGATGAGCACCAGTGGGGTGAGATCTACGAGAACATGACCGGTGTCGGTGTACTCGGCAGCTTGGTAGAAGACCGAGCGGATCTCGGAATAAGTATGTTTCTATTACAACGAATACGAAAGATGCATGGCTTAGACCGTGCGCGCATCTGAAACTAAACTATCGTAAAGCTGTTCATCGCTCTTTGATTCCAATGAGCTTCTATGGATGTGCGCACAATACTCGATTTATAGTTGTGCTACTGAACCGTTCGACAATCGCACAACAGTTGTGCGATAGTTTAGTCATAGGTGATGTTAACAAATTGATAAACCTATTCGATTTAATTTTCTTGACTTATGGAATTAATATGAAAGGAAAGTGAAGAGCTCACACGAAAGAGCAGTTTTCGTGTATCACATTAGTTTTCGTAAGATTAACTTGTGATTTATTTTGATTTAAGCGGCTTTATACTCCTGGTATGAAGAATATTTAGTGCTCGATTTATCAGCTCCTTGTATAAGAACTGGCATCACATGCATTGCTCCGGCACCAAGGTATATAATACATTGTTTTTTATTTATTTTAATAACTATGTATGTAGCTTAATTTTTTTTTCTTACAGGTTGCTGGTCAGCTGGGAAACTCCTTTCTTGCCATTCACCTTGTACATGTGGATTGCAATATTTTTCACGTTTCTATACGCCTCTATTGCTCTGATTATTGCGCAAGGAGGCTCGACTAAAAAGGTTTTTCTGACCACATTTGGTATGATGATAACGCAGGTGAGATATTAAGAGAATCTATTTTTAAAGAAGATAAAAAAAATCAGTAATGGATTCTAAAATGAAAAATCCATAATAATCTCTTAAAATAATTTAGGTCATTAAAAAACAGAACATCTTTATGATAACATCGAGTTTCTACTAATGAATATTTTTTGCAAGACATTAAGCCATGTACATGTTTGATTTCGCTGTCCAACGATCATCAAACTTAGACAAGTAAATAGTTTACGCGATTTACAAACATTGCAGTTACGTATCGGATCGAAATCTACATTTCATCAATGCCTTCTGTAAAATTGTTTACGCGAAAAGTTAACTTTCCTCAAAAGAAAAATGATTTTGAAAACAGGCGTATTCTTCTGTTTTGTTAATTCACGCACATTATGCTTTAACGTTAAAAAAAATGTAAAACATAACAAAAACTTTTAGACTTAAGTTTTCCGTTAAGCAAAGAATAAAATTAAATGAATAACATTAAAATTACAATAATGTAAGAACTATTTGACCCGAGGAAAAGTGAAAAGGTACCAAAATTAACGCTATAAAATTGTGTTGTCAGTCACAAAGTGAAGTCGGCGGGACGTGGAAGATTCGTAGGATAACTGGATGGCTACTGATCACTGGCTTGGTACTGGACAATGCGTACGGAGGTGGCTTGGCATCTACTTTCACCGTTCCCAAGTACGAAAAATCAATTGATACAATACAAGACATCGTGGATAAGAAGATGGAATGGGGGGCAACGCACGACGCTTGGATATTCTCGTTGGCGATGTCCCAAGAGGTACTTCTATACTAATATTATAAAGAGGAAGGATTTGTACTTTTGTAAGTATTGAAATAACTCAAAAACTACTGACCGATTTTCAACATTTTTTTCATAATTAAAAAGCTACTTTTTCAGTGAGTAACATAGGCTATATTGTTTTTGTTTCTCGCGGACGAAGTCGCGAGTAACAGCTATTTTTTATAAAAATAATAATTTTTTTTAACATAGAACCACAACTGTCTTGTTTAGTTAATGTCTGTTAAAAATCGGTTTTAAAACTCTTCTTTTTTTTCGTTTCAGCCACTAATTAAACAATTGGTAGATCAATTTAAAACGTTTTCGTTTGAAGAACTGGAGCGAAAGAGCTTGTCCAGAAGTATGGCGTTTAGTATAGAGAAACTGCCTGCAGGTAAGTATTTGTGAACGTGCTAATGCTAGTAAGGCAAAGCAACTAAATTGTAAGAACAGGCCGTTCCTTATGCAATCACCGTGGTAATCTTCAGCATAATATGTTTTACCAAAAACAATCATTAACTGTAATATTTGGTTGATTGTATACATATCGTAGATATTACAATAATAGTTAAAAAAACCCTCAAGCCGCATAATTCACTAAAATCACAAAAGAATATCGACAACAGTTTTTATTACTACAATATTCTACACTTATTGGTTTTAAAATACAGGTTACTACGCTATTGGTGAATACATAACGGAGGAAGCTGTATTGGATTTTACAATAATGCTGGAGGATTTTTACTACGAGCAATGCGTCGTTATGCTGCGGAAAAGTTCCGCCTACACAGACAAAATTAATGCATTGGTAGGAAGGCTTCATGAATCCGGACTTTTGCTTGCATGGGAGACACAGGTAAGCGAAATGACATGAATATTACATTTTTAGTAAGTCGTATAATTGAACTGTAATTTGTTTCCTACGCTGGCAGACTAGCACTGTATATATGTTGACCTTGTATAGAGTATTTTATACGCGGAAGTAATTATAAACGATGCCAAAACAACCACTTTAATAGCCATTTTATTATGACTAGTTCATTAAGATTTACAATGATTTTCAGGTAGCGTTGCAACATTTGAATTATCAAGTTCAACTAGAAGTTAAATTGTCTCGTTCTAAAAAGGATGTTGAAAAGATTGAACCACTTGCTTTACGTCATGTTTTAGTAAGTATTTAGGTTACCGCGTATTCGTCAACTCTACATTTATTTGTGTTTGGTTTTGTTTCAGTTATTTTTTTTTCAGGGGGTGTTCATATTATATGGTCTTGGAATAATTATCTCCATTGCGATTTTCATTTTAGAAATAATAGTTCATAATAATACGAAATAAGAGTACAACTGTCTACACTATTATTTAAAATAAAAGAAATTTTTATTTCTTATCGTAAAAAACTATTGGAAATGTTCTCATATGTCATTGAAAGCTATGCTCAACAGAAGGGAGAAACGGAACGTAATTTTTAGCTAGTGTTGCGTAGCTTTCAAAAACTCGATATCGAAAAGATGAATATTTAAGATTATATTTTTGGTATAACAACTTCGTAAAGCTAAACATCAATTTACAACCTGTTTTTTATCCATTTTTGTACTTTAAGGCGGTTTTATGTGCTGATGTAAATTGGTTTAATTAAACATTATTATATCAAGGGTACATCCACATACATATACATTTTTAATTTTTTTTTAAATAAATTTATAATCAGTACAGTAGCATCTCTGTATATGTAGTGTATTAACATATATCAAATTTTGGGTAAATATGAAAAAAATATTTAGGTTGTCAACAGTAACAATTCCTTTTTTTAAATACAACTAAGTCTTTCGATTATTAAAAACGTTTTGATGCAAATTTAATTTTTCACAATGACAATATAAGTAAATAATGTTTTAAAACGGTAGATTATAGTGTTGTTAGAAAATTCACGCTAGTCACATCACTAAATCAAGACTTATCGGTTGGCAGCATTGTGCACGTTTGTCACGCTTGGTTGTCATCTTGAATGTTTGCAGATGTCGCGGTCGCGGGAAACACGATCGATACAGTGTTGAGTTTGTTGTGTGATAGGAATCAATTAGGCTTGCGTGAATTGTCCTTAAATTATGTTTGAATGAATAACTAGAATATTATAGAAAATAAAAATCACAATGTTTGTGTATCGGTTTGTGTATTTAGCGTTTTTCCTTACCGCGTCGGCTAAATTTGTTTGGAAGCACCATAATAATGAAGAATTACCATTGGTTTTGGAAGAAGTTCACCAAAAATGCCCAAATGTAACCAGAGTTTATGCTTTATCAGAACCATCTGTGCGAAATGTTCCTCTTTATGTGATTGAATTTACTGACACGCCTGGATTTCATCAGCCCTGTAAGAATTATTTATTTAATTACTTCATTTATTCTAGCCTTTTCAATCCAGTTTCTGGACCCCATTGTGGGTATATCCTCCAACCGTTTCTATAAGAAATATATTTACTTAAAATAATTAAGCCTTAATAATTATATTTAGTTTTTTTTTATCTACCTGCTGTACTTAGTTTATAAAATAAATCTTATTTATAATTGTTTTTAGATAAGCCTGAAGTAAAATATGTGGGAAATATTCACGGAAATGAGGTTCTTGGTCGAGAATTGTTGCTTGGTTTAGCTGATTATTTATGTGAACAGTATTTAAAGAATGATCCTAACATAAAGGCACTTATTCATAAAACTAGAATACATCTTTTACCGTCTATGAACCCTGATGGTTGGCAACTGTCCACTAATTTTGTGAGTACAATTATAAATAAATATAATCTTAACAATGTATTGAATTGCAATTTAAATATACTCTGTTCTGTATAGGGTGGCCAAGACTATCTCCTGGGACGTGGTAACAATCATTCAGTGGATCTGAACAGGAACTTCCCAGACTTGGATGCTATCACATTTGAGTTTGAACGACTCGGTATCAATCATAACAATCATCTGTTGAAGGATGTCACCCGACTTGCAGCACCTGTAAGTTCATTTATTAATTCAGAATTAGTTTATTTATTATTTTGAATTATGTAGCTGTGTATTTAATACCTATTTAGTTGTGAGACATTAATTAATATTTGTATACTATTCAGAACAGACTTATCAAGTTTTATGTCCTATTTTTTTAAAATTAACTGTACATCTTTCAATGTCTTTTTTTATTTCACTATGACACTAAATTCTATGAGGGTATTTTTAATATTTATAAAATCATAATAAAATTTTATAGATATACTGACAATTAGCATGTCATTATGCAATAAATTAGTTAATTATTTATTTAAAGTATTATTTGTATTATGTTGGATACATATGGCTATAATTATAGCACCTTGGTGTTTACAAATTTTCGGTACTAATCCAGTATTTAAAGATGATAACCTCAATACCATGTCAATGATTCCTGACAATGCAATGTGTAAATGTCAGTTGGAGCCGGAGACCCGCGCGGTGATTCGCTGGATAATGTCTATACCGTTCGTACTGAGCGCGGCGATGCACGGCGGAGACCTGGTCGCCAACTACCCTTATGACGAGAGCAGGAGCGGCGCCCTCGCCTCCGAGTACTCCGCCAGCCCTGATGATGACACCTTCAAGTTAGTGATACCTTACTAATGTTACAAATGCGAAAGTTTAGATAGATGGATGTTTGATAGAGTTTGTAGCCTAAACGGTTGAACAGATCTCGATGAAAATTGGCATAGATGTAGAGGGTAGTCTGGAAGAACACATATGCTACTTACTTCTGTTTTTTTTTTTAATTTTACGCGGTTGAAGTCGCGGACGAAAGCTCCAAATAAAACACGTGGTTGTTAACACATTTTGGTTGGTTTTGAGTACCCTTTAGTAATTACTACATGTTGCTTGCGACTTTGTCCACGTGAAATTAACAAAAAAAAAAAATAAAACCCTAGCCTATGTTTCTCACCGATAACGTAGTTTATTAATGGTGAAAGAATCCTTTAAATCGGCCGAGTTGTTTTTGAGCTATTTCAATACATACAAATCACAAATCTTTCCTGTTTTATATTAGTAAAGATGTAATTTTGTATATATTATAGCGATACGTTAAAAAATATTTGTCCAGATTTAAAACTGGTATAAAATATTTATATAAATCTTATTAGCTGCGATACTTTAAAGGTCATTCATCCATTAGCAATAAAATAAGATATTGGTTTGTTTGTTGACGAGCGCTAACGGAGAATAGTAATTCTGAGTACATGATCTGTGCGGAATGCAAATGTATTGATTAACTGTTATCCTTGTGTTGTGTATCACGGCCGCTGGTTACTGTCGCTTTTAACGCGCTCTAATTTAAGAAAATAAAAAGGTAAAAAGTTAACTTAGTATAGGAGTTGTTTTACACACACACAAATACACACACGTACACGCATACGCACGCACGCACGCACGCATACACTCATAAATTACGCAAATAAGAACGTCCTTAGGTAATTTTAGACCATGGCTATCCTTTTACCTTACAAATAAACTGAGTATAAGAAAAAATTGTACTAATATTTGGTTATACTCAGTTTATTCCTAACTTTAATTTTATATCGCGTTTAGTTGTAAGGATATAAGAGATTTTTTTCCTATAGGGAGATAGCTATGGCATATGCGAACGCGCACGCCGATATGGCATCGCTGAACCGTCCCGGATGCCACATCAACGGCCCCGACCAATCCGAGGCGTACAACTTCGGCAAGCAGGGCGGCGTCACCAACGGCGCTGACTGGTACAGTCTTAAAGGAGGTAAAATTTTTTTCAGCCAGTTATAATCAATGCCTTTTTTATTTTACAGTCGCGGAAATTCGCGGTGTTCCATTACAGGAAAAATTCCCTTGTTCGCTGCGGCAAGACGAGCTTCGCCTTTTCTACAAATAACTAATGAAATAGCGAGTGGTGCAAATGAATGGATGATGAAATATCGTGTAACACTGACCGCCATTTTTTTTGTAGACACATTTATAAGCTTTGTTGTATTTTTGTGTTCGAGTCTCATTTTAAAATTTCCAAACAAAGGTAGAAACCGCCAGTTTTCCGCACTGTACATAAACTTTATTGCCGGCCAGTATCAATTAACAAAAAAAAATATAAAAATAATAAGTGTTATTTTACGGAATACAATAAAATACTACAAAGGTAAATTTAATATTTACACTAACTAGGAAACACCGTGTGATATTAAGCAATCCATTTGTATTGTGTGCAAATGATAAGGCCAGGGTTGCAACAAAACACAGATCCTGAAGATTGTAATTATTTTCCTTTCGCTATCAGGAAGTAGATAAACTGGGATAATGTAACTTTAATTGTGCTTTTGACATTTAAACGACTAGTTAACCGTGAAATAGACCGGTAAAGTCGGCGTCAGTTATGTCCAATTTCTTTTCAAACACGATCATTTCATTTTTTTATATGTAACGTTATGCGGCTCGCATAATCGAATATAATTAAACATCGTAATTGTATGCCAATGTAAAATCGATTATCGTTTATTTTTATCGTTGTAACTCGATTAATGTCGACGATGACGCAACAGTCAATAAAGGGATTATTTTACTTATATCGTTTGTAAAGGGTTCTATTCATGTTCTATATAATTTTGTTACTTTCTTTTATTTTGTCGCATATAATTTACCTTGAATCTATGAAAGAGGTTTTATACTAATAAAACATCGTAAACTGTCTGTCCTCCCCGAGTTATCGGTTATACACTTGAAATTAATGTTAAAATTTTAGGAATGCAAGATTTCAACTATTTGGCTACAAATGCGTTTGAAATAACCCTTGAATTGGGCTGCCAGAAGTATCCATTGGAGAATGAATTAGAGAACGAATGGAACAGGAACCGTGAAGCCTTACTTGCTTATTTGTGGAAGGCGCACATCGGTGTGAAGGGAATCGTCAGCGATGACACTGGTTTCTTAGAAAACGCTATTATATCTGTGGTCAATCTCACTGGACACACGCCGAAGCCAATACGACATGATGTTACTACAGGTATGTGTCATAAACTCACGACAATAAACTACAAATTTTATAAAACAAAAATCATATGTGCATTTAAACAAATTTTAGACACATCTGATTATTCAATTAAAATAACGTAGAACGTAAATTATATTAACATTGTCATATTCATTTTATTGTCCGATTTAAACAATTGTTTGCGCTCACAAGATTCAATTACAAGCAATATATTCAACTAAGAGTTTCCTCTTCTAACATGTTATACTATCCCTATAACTTGTAGAAACGGTAAACATACATAATGTTTGACTGTCAGTCACCTAATAGACGGTAAAAAAGCAATATTAGTATCAAGTAACTTTTGCTTTTGAAATAACAAATTCCCCTATGACTCATAATGTTGCACATCGGCAAATGAAACCCGAGCGAAAAAACCGAATTCGATAAGCTTATGAATATAAGTTTATTAACTTTTGCACGCGACTCCGTCCGCATGGTTTAAAAAAAGCAGACGTAAGTGGCTTATGTGTTCTTCCAGACTACCCTCTACGTCTATGCCAAATTTCATTGAAATCCGTTCAGCCGTTTAGTCTACAAACTCTAACAAACATCGATCCATCTAAACTTTCGCATTTATAATATTAGTACGATAAAATAAAAAGTATTTTTATGTGACTATAGCAGATGGACCCTTTGCAGTTTTATATACGAACGAGATAAATGCAAATTACATTTCTTTTAATTTACACTGTTTCTATGAACTATATCAACCACTAAAAGGTAATATATAGCCTATGTTACTCAGCAATAACGTAGCTTTTGATTGGTCAAATAATTTTTGAAATCAGGACAGTAGTTTTTGAGTTATTTGAATACATATAAACATACAGATATTTCCTCTTTATAGTATCGATAATAGTCATATGAACATTGCAAATTGCATGCATCTTTTCGTGTTGTATCAGATTGTGATTGCATGACGTCACTCGTTCGCTGCACTAATTGTAACAATGCCCAACGACTGTACTGTAAACACTAATACGCAGTATTACACTTGTGGTATATCAGAAGCCCAGTAACAGCTAAAGTAGACTATATCGCGTTTCAGCGAATTGCGATTGTATTTGAAACGGTGTTCTTTGTAGGTTTTATAGATCTAATTCTTGATTCAAACAAATGGATATTATACTAGGGCATTACTATTTAAAAATTGTATTGTATATTGACATTTTTAAGTATTTTTTCATAGAATGTTTTTAGTATTGAAAATGTGAATGATACGCATATCAAATTGTGTTACTGTTTTCCGAATAAATTTAATCAAGCAGCCCTTCACGGTTAATGTTCTCAAATAAGTACAATTATGTTACACGAGGACGTAAAATACGTTTAGATATGTTCATAAATTCTGACAACTTCGTGGAGAGACTTTACAACACTTTTTACTCAAATTCGGTAGTAATTATGTTTGTGGTCATTTTATTAAAAAATAATTTTATTTTGGAATGTCACAAGATATTAACACTTTACATATAAATGTAATTTCTCCCTAACGAATGATTGCTGAGTTATATATCGATCTTGAGGCAAAAAATGATACAGACGAAACATGGTAATTTAACTATGACTAATGTTGTCCCCGTAACGATGACAAGCAACTCCTTTACATACGCTTAATTGTCTTTTAACTGGCAACAATTAGATGAGTTGTAGAACTTTATTGTGTTAGACTAGACGACGAAGATAAATAGAAAGCGGTATGGGTGGAAATAAGCTTACGTAACCACCCCAATCTGTATATATTGTAAGTATTTAAAGCCTTACAAATAACGCTTCCAGACTCTACATATATGCCAAGTTCAATCGTGATCCGATCAGCAGTCTACAAACTCTATGAAACATCCATTCATTTTAACTCACATTAATATTAGTAAGATTATCGTAATTATGAAGGTGTGTACGGTGACTACTACCGCTTGCTGACGCCGGGCCGGTACGAGGTGACCGCGAACCACCCCGGACACTACCCCGCGCAGCGCATCGTCACAGTGCCCCAGCGACAGTCCTCAGCACGTATACTCAACTTCAAACTGGAGGTAGGAATTATTATCGATAATCGTTTTGTTTACAGCAATCATCCTGCTCGAAGGACCATAAAACATACCACTTATAAATGCTGTTACTGATTAATGTGATATGAGGTGTATGTAGAATAATATGTTATATCAAACATAGATTATCTTTATCCCGGAAACTAGCTATTTTAAGATAATTTACTCAACATAATGCATAATTGTGTTATGAATAGTTTCCGATAATAATTTCAATGTAATTGCAAGATTTAACTCATTTATAACATTGTTAATGACATACAAATATATGTAATTTCTGTGTCACCAATAGTTTGTTATGACTGGAACAGAATGGCACTATAATTCCTAGCTCGGCCGTTTGCCCAATTGAGGCAATTAGTAAACACAAGACTGTTCTCTTGCACCGTACGTTGACTTGAGATCGGTTGGTCACACGTAGAATTACAAAATTACGTTACATGTAGTCTACTAAAGGATGTCGAATTTTAAGAATTCAGTTTTCAACTATATACGAGTACTAACAAGTGCAGAACTTAAATATTACGGACAATCATGAAATTTTTTAAAGAACTAATTTTTCAGAACTTTCGGTTGAAAGTGAAAGTCTTTTGTACTTTTGTCGAACTTACGAAAGAATGTAATATAGTATAACATTTATTTCTTTGAAGTAATTTAAAAGAAGTATATTTACTCTCTAATTGCAAAAGGTGGAACTAAAAATAGACTGATTACATGACGTCACGTGTAGCGTTCAATTGACGTGGTAACTTCTCTCTCTGACGTCATACCAACGCGCAAAGTTACACGTGGGCGGTTTGTATTGATTTTTCGTATGATTTCGCGCTTCGTCTATTCGTTAAAACGTTGATAAGCTTTAATATAAAAATGGTTTATTATTATTTACGGACGAATACTAAAACGATATTTAAATGTAATGGCGTCATAATTAAAATTCAATTTGAAATATGACGCCTGTCAGATTGTAAGAAAAGTTACAAAGTTAAATGTTAAAGATTATTGATAGTATTCGACCGTCTCTGTAAATCTTGTGGATCGAATTAATACTTATACTAATGTGGAAATTAGCTTTAGATTTCTAATAGGTGTTTTTCAGAACTCAACCTGAACAAGATGTCTAAATGTCGATTCTCTTTCTCATGTATTGATCAAAAAGAGTTATTCAATGGCAATAATATACTTTGTATTTGGCCGTTTATCTTATGGCCGGTTTCTCAGCTGGTTTTAACCATTCCTTAGTGTTATAGGTTTCATAACTTCATGAAATGCGTTTCCGAACTACATAACTTGAGTTTTACTCCTTAGACTTAATTTAACCTAACACTTAATCGATAGGTAAGGATAAAATGATACCTTTTGTGTTATGAATAATCTTTGTTACGTATGAGTGTCGATTACAATACATTCGCTTATTCTTAACTCACCAAGGTCGCAAAGAGAAAGACCTAAAACGCGAGTACAGGCACCTCATTTATATTACTATCGGAGCTTTGAGACTGGCAGACTGACAATATCACTTTGACCTTGATTGATAATCCTGTTCATTTAATTTAGTATTATACTTAGCTGTTGCACCCGGATTCGTTCGTGCAATATATAAAACACACGAAAAACAAAGAACTACGTATCCATCGGGAATTTGACTTTTTTCATCATTATGCTTTACATCTGTACCAAATTTCAGCGATATCCGTTAAACTGATCTATCAATTTATAATATTAATACGAAGTATTAGTGTTGTTATGGGTAATAAAGAAAAGAAAACAATACGTTTGAATATAAAATTTGTTAATTTCAGCCTATACGTTATGATGATGGTGCTCTGTTCTTCGAGCCGCCGTACATCCGCTACCAGCCGCGTATCTACAAGCGATCCCTCTACCAAAAGGTCACCAACACTCTCCTGCAAGCTGCAGACACGCACAAACAGTGAAGCCGCAATCCAATATAGACCTTATTCTTATAGAGATAAGTATGAAATTATCAATGTAAACTTGTTAGCGAAAATTATGTGATGTGAATCAGGATGTTGTATAGTGAAGTAAAAAATTGCATTCGCTTATGTCGACATTTTAGTAATTTTTGTCATATTCGAAAAACTTGAATTTTATTATCAATATTGTTTGTATATTGGAATCGTGCAGAAATTCGAGTGCCATAATGTCTTTCCAATTGTTGATTTTTTTTTATTAATGTTGTATACAGAATAAAAATAAAATTGTCTAGTCCAAACACGTTACCTTTTTATTTATATTTTATCGACTTAAAACAATCGACATTGACATTAAAGTACATAAAAAAAGGAATAATTTAATTGCTCCTTTCATTATAAAGTATTCGAACATTGCCGTATGTTATTCCGTCTAAAATATCTGTTCGTTTGTTATGTAAACTAAATAAATTTTATAATTTTAAACATGATATCATTGTTTTGAAGTTTCCGAAAGCTGAGCTCATCGTAAGGCGATATTCAAAATCATAGATATAAATAATAGATAGGTGATTGTTAAGAAATAACAGCTTTTGCTTTATTTCGATTTAAACTCGCCTTTTAATGTTAAGTATATCACTTATTAGTTCGGAAACTATTCAACCATCGCTGCCAAAATGGCGAAAATCAAATAGTTACAAAAACCATACTTTTATAGCCTGGTTTTAATAATCAGTGCTCATAAAACATGAATTAAAACTACCAATGTTATATATGACATTTATGTAATTTTTTTTAAATAAAAACATTAAAATCTGTTAAATAACTTTGCGTTCAAAGAGGGAATTTTGTAATCTTTATAACACTCGAGACAAACTGGAAAATTCAAATTAAATAAATTGTTATTTCCTTACTAGCTGTTGCCCGCGACTTCGCCCGCGTGGTATTAACAAACTATATAAATAACAAAAAGCTACGTATCCCTCCAGACTATGCTCTAAACCTGTGCCAAATTTCATGGAGATCCGTTCAGCAGTTTAGGCTACAAACACTAACAAACATCCATCTATCATAACTTTCGCATTTATATATTTCCTTATATAATATCTTTGGAAACTCTTGTAACATACGGCAATTTATTATTTATGTCAAGTGACGTGTTTATAATCAAAATATTTACCTGTACATAGTTTGTAGTTGAAAATCATTAAATTGTATATACGTTTGTGTAAAATGTTTAATAATTTCATTCTCTTATAATCTTGACAAGGTTAGACGAAGTTATAGTGATGTTACGCAGATTAAAAAATCATCAAAACTGTTCAATTTTTAAATAAAAAAAGTAGTCATCAATATTACAAATAATATTAATTAAACTTTGTGTTTTTTTAAAAACAATCCAAAGCATAGCTCTGTCATTTCCACTCTTAATTCAATTTTTTCTAATAAACGTAAATTGCTCACTCACTGGTTTAATTGATACCTTAAAATGTCGCTTAGTGTAGGTTTTTACACTTATTCGTCACTAAGGGACTGTTTATGTAGCTATCAAACGACTTTAAGTGAAGCAGTAAATCTATATTTGACCTACGACCATCATTGTAATTGTGACTCGTTATAACCTATCTATTTAATAAACTTTCAGAATGTTAAAAGTGTTGAATAAATGGAATTTATGTGCATTGTTTTATTTCAATATCCTTTCAAATTATTTACGTTATTAATAGTAATACTATGTCACTTTCTTTTAATTTTCTCTTCTCTCGAAAGGACCACAATTATGTGACAAATGAGATCCTTTAGGATCGTCTGTAAAAGGAGTTTCTCGATGGAAAATATATTCTAAAAACTTAATCGTTCCTCACATTTGCTTAGTCTTAAAGACTGATTGCAGATAATAAAATAACAAAAAAATTCTTATCTCGCAATGGATAACATTTACAAATAAATAGCTTAATGGGGGAAGAAAGCTTGTAAGCAAGAAATAAACTCAAAAACTAATAGTGGTATTACAAAATTCTGCCATTAGAACGCTACAAGTAGAGTAACATAGACTATATTACCAGTTTCTTTTTATTGTAATTGCCTATAATTTTTTTTGCATATTGCAGATATTCCGAGTTAATCTTTATACTAACAAGTGATGAATTCCAAATTTCGTTAAGTCGTAGGAAAATAAAATATACACAGCAATTTGCTCGTTTCGCTTCAATATTATTGAAGGAAAAATGAAAGAAGTACTGGATGTTATAGGTTTTATTAAAACCAAACTTTTCATTTGAAAGTTAAGTTGTACTTATCTAATAATTAGCTATATATTTTATAATTGACACAATTAAGTACATAACTACATGTATAAACTATGACTGATTAAATTGTATAGTGCAGTAAAATCATTCTATATTTGAGCACACTATTATAAGCTATATAAAAGTTATATACAAAAATATATTTTGAACTCTAAAGTAATTGAATCGGTTACATTACGTTGATAAACAAATTATCAAATACACTATCTTAAAATTAAAGGAATCTGTGATTTTATACAGTTACCAACATCAGTTTCCACGAACAAGTATAATTTTTTTTGTCGCAAAAATAATGGTACAGATTATAGTTAGTTTTATGCAATAAGGCCCAGTTCACACTTGGCTATTACAGTTAGACAGTTTCAATGGCAAGCGACACTATAGCGCCTATAAGCGTTCACTCTTTGCCAATTAACGGTCCAATCAGAGCGCTACTGACCAACTGTACCAGCTAAGGATAAACCGCACATAAGTTTCACTGCAATAGCTGTGATGGAACAAAAAATAACCTAAAAACTGTAGACACAGATTGGATGATAATAATTTAACTCTCCTTTGTATTTCCGTTTCATTATCTATGGTCAACATTCAATATTCTACATCAAATTAATTAATTGGGAAACTAAACATTTCATCACAATTCTAAGGATTGTTATACAATATTTTTTTACTTTTCTGGCAATTGTTTGGAGTATCTGAAGTACCAATTGTTACAGAAATTTACGTAAATACTTCGATCAAATTGTATACATTCCTACATAAGCAGATTGTTTACAATAAAATATTAAGTTTAGTATCACTCAGTTCCTTACAACTTCTTTTAATAAAATTATATTAATCCCTTCTTTTAATTATTTTAGTTATCATTAAATACAAAAATATGAATTCTTAAAAACTAGTAGGTAATCATTGAGATAATTTCGGACGGATTCGTTGCGTTTTTCAGTTTTACAATTTGTTACAAAAACAAGAGTACACAAATTATAATTTGAGATTTTTAAATCACAAAAATCTCTTATTCTTTAAAGGAAGTAAATGGCACACATAAAATTCATTCATACAAAAAATCGGTGCATATTACAATCAAATTTCTTTCGATGTTATTACAATAGATTAAAAATTATAGTTTTAAATTTAATTTAGACATCTGAACCGTTACCAGATTCAGATTACAATGAAGCCTGCAATAAACTAAAGCTTAGTATTTACAAGTACAGATTTTGAACAATTTAGTCCGATTTATTGACGCCAATAATTTTCAAGTTACCTGTAATAAAAAACAAATGATTGAGATGTAAAGTTCCGTTTCTTACGTAACTTACGTTAGTAAACGACGAAATCAATATATTAAATTGTATTACCATTTAGTGTCTACTCCTGTGCATGCCGGAGTGCCGGCTGCCCGGCCGAGACTGCACTATCGCGTAGTGGTCGCTGTTGTCCGACACAGACCTGGAATATACACCAAACACATTAATTTTAAACTTCTAAAAAAGTATTATTAAAGTCTAACAATTTGAATAAGGATGTTTTCTTGTTTATTTGTTGATTTCCTTTATGGATAGCATGTTAAGCACTGACTGTCGCTTGCGTCTTCATTCGCGCATAATTATACTGTAATACGTTTAGCCTATGTTATTCATTAATAACGTAGTTATTGGTGAAAGAATTTTTGAAATCGGCCCAGTAGTTTTTGAGTTTTTTCAATACATACAAAAATACAAATCTTTTCTGTTTATATTATTATAGACTAGCTTTCGCCCGCGACTCCATCTGCGTGGAATTAAAAAAACAAAAATGAGTAGCCTGTGTGTTCTTCCAGACTATCGTCTACATCGGTACCAAATTTCACCGAAATCCGTTCAGCCGTTTAGTCTACAAACTCTAACAAACATCCATCCATCCATCCATCTAAACTTTCACACGTGTAATATTAGTTAGATTACCTTGTTGAGTGTATGGTGGATGAGGGGTATCTGCTCCCGTACTGGCTGCCGTGCCAACTGCGATATGGGTCGTAATCTTCCACAACTGATGGGTCCTTCTCAATCACCTGGATTTTTTTTCAGGTATTATACACAGTGATTCTTAACGAACGGATCAAAAGTGGATGTATTAAGATTCATCCTGTATATACATTTCAATAGCTTGTTTATCTCAAAATGAAGTACAAAAAATATGCCTACATCAGTCCTCGCGCAGGAGCAGGTCATGGCGGTGCAGAGGAAGCAGTTGATGAGCAGCATGACGAGGAACATGACGCCCAGCGCGATGGCCAGGTACAGCAGCCACAGCGGCCGCACGCTGCCGTCCGCGCACGCCAGCGCCGCCACTGACCACATACCATATTTGTTTATCAATTAAATTAAAAAGATTATGATTTTTTTCTATTAAAGGAATGTTATGTACGGTACAAGGTACGCCCTTATTCATTCTATGTCACCCGTGCACAAGTACGCTCGCAGCTAACCTCGAGTCAACCATAAAGTTTGAATGTTGTAATACAAATAAATAAAGCCAACAAATGCAGTTAACTCTTCTGACTGACACACATGGGTTTTATAGTAAGTTACTCTTTGTAGGTATTGATGAGGTACCGTTGCTGTCGTTGGGGTCGAGCACGAAGACACTGGTGGAGGCAGTGAAGCTGCCCTCCTCATCGCCGGGCTCCGCGCTGTCGCTCGTGCAGTCGACCACCGCGCAGCTGCCTGGAATAACAATGTGTTACTGGCGGCCAATTCTAATTTTCTCAATGGTAAATGGTACCCAAACGTCCTGTTCCCAACATAGGGGTACGAGAGGGCGGCATAGTGTCACCTATTAAAAATAAAGTTTCTATTTCTTTTCAAATCTATTGTCTTAGTTTCTTGAGCGGCCGCACACCTTTGACTAGACTATTCTACGTGCGATTGTCGATTGTTTCGTAGCTCATTCAACTGTTTAGTTACACAACTAAAAATCAAGTAGTGTTCGCACCTCCATGTAAGCTCATAGGAATCAAAAGGAAATTAAACAGTTGTGCGATAATATAGTTTCAGGTGTAAGCGTTCTAGGGGGCTGGGACAGTAATCTTGTTACCGACCCAATATACTCCAATAAAATCACCATTTGTAAAGCGATATTTATGTTATTTGAATATTGTCAATGTCTTACCCTTGCATACTCCAATATCACACTGGAAGTTGACTTGCGAGGAGCCCGGGAATCGGAAGATGGAGGAGATCGACAGCTCAGCCATACCGTTCTCGTTCTTTACTGATACTTGCTGTTTCAGAGGACAACTGGAATGATATCGATAATATTTTGTATTGCATACTTTAGTACGTACAAGCAGACCTTGATTGAAATATCAAATCTGGGATGGGCTCAGAAAGGTTGCAGGTTCAACATACATATATTATTATCATAACTAACTAACATGTCAATAACTTTTTAGCAGATTATTTTTTATTAAAAACTAAGTTACAACAGTCATCATACAATTTAAATAGGATGAAAAGTAAATATTTTCGTAAAATAATAAAACAAAACACGGTGTGTCCACGTACCCTCTTTGGTCCAAAAGCTCTACAGTATTATTCCGCATGTTGAACGCGAAACAATTTTTCATTCTGATCCCGTGGAGTCCTGTAAAGTACAAGCATTAATCTTCAGTGACGTTGCAATTTCGTGCTCGAAATGCCTTCACTGGTAGCCAGAATTTATATGAATGTTTTAAATCGCCCGCGTTTATTAAAAATGTTTTAGCTGAAGTTAACACGATTATATTGCTATTCTGTTGTGGTGCTGTAAATTGTAACTGTTCTATGTAAAATGTGCGATATGTCATTAGTATATGATATGTAATGCATGGCGTTATGACGTCATAAATCAATAATTTACCATCAGATTTGCTGATTTCAGCTTTTAGTGTGTAGTGCAACCCGAAGGCAGCGTTGAACACCTTGCGTCCGTTGTCATCCAACATACGTAGTGATACTGTCGACGTTTCATTTCTGTAATCAAAACGACGATAACCTGTTATTAGACCTTACTACTATCAGGACTTCTATTATTTATACACTAGCTATAGCCCGTTACTTTGTCCACGAAATATTAAGATAAAAAAGTAGCCTATAATATGCCCTATTGTCTATGTCACATACCCTTCAGTGAAGATCCGGTCGCAATCGGATCAGCTGTTTCGGAGATTATCCAAAACAAACGCGGCTTGCGAACAGACAAAAAGACAGACAGACAAAAATTTAAAATGTGATTTTCGTTATCAGCAACGCAAATACATCATCTTCCCAAAATCTGATATTTTCCTCTGATATTACACACAGACAATAGAAGAATAATAGAACCCTGAATTGTTAAATGCGCAATCTTTTCCCGAATGAAGGGGGAACGACGATTAAAGATTGAAGCTAAATTCGCAAAGGAGAAATATTTGTAATCTGTTGTCTAAGTTTCATGTGTAGTAAATCGACCTTGTTGTTTAAAGGTATGTAGAAAAGGTTCATATTATTTATAGCTATTTGTTGAAATTGTAGTGTATACCTAGAGTTCTTGAAGCCAGTCTTGCCGCAGGTGATGACGTAGAATTTATCGTCAGCCAGCTCCAGTGTCCTGTGAACCCGCACCGCCAGCGGCAGAGACCGCTCGTCCGTACGCTGCAAACATACATTACACAACCAGTTGTCATTTGTGGAGAATTTCAATAATAGAGCAAACTGAGTCTTTTGAGACAAGGCGTCTACAAGTTAGCGGAACTAATGTTATGTACCCATAGATGTAGAACTTTTAAACAAAAATGTATTTAAAATTCCTATCTCTATCCCTTAATTTCCTTTTGTATAAATGATGGTAGTTAAAGGGAACTTTGGTGCTTGTTTTTTGTGTCGTATACAAACGTTGTTCCAGAAGACACCGCAGTAGTCTGGTGATCCGGGAGTCGCCATCAGGCTGATGTCGAAGTTTAGGGACTCGCTGCCGTTACCCGTCGCCATGCATGCCGGCGTCCTGAAGACAATATTTACGATAATGTAAAAGCTAAATGTTTTCAGTGAGGTTTTTTGTAAAATACTATAATATTTGTTTCGTCCCATATGTTAATCATCAATTGCTTTGTTTTACAGCCATAAAGTAATACCTGAACTCTCTGGCGTGCGCTATGCCATTGAAGGGTTGGTTGAACTGGATGTTGATGGACATAACGCCCGTCTTACATGTCGCCTTCACTGCCGGCGAGAACTCGCCGCTGCTTTCCGTGTTCTAAAAATAACAAGATAAATTGTTTGACACTTTCATTACAAATATACTCGTATTATTTTTCGTCTGATTTCATTTTGGATCCCTCTTAATTTAACTAAAAGACTTAATAATTGAATTAAAGGTTGCTTGCACAAATATTTCACAATAAAATACAAAACGATTTCACCCAAGTGGGCAATTATTAGAATAATTTAATTAACTTTGTGATTATGTACATACTTAAAGTAGCTTACCTCAAAACAGTTTTCATTTTAGAAAGTAAATAATGCAAGGCAATTGCTGTTAATTAACTTCTACAATAATTTAAATCAAAACCAAATTGTTCTTGGGTTTAAAATATGCATTATTTTAACCTTAACCTACAAGTTATGGTTTGATGATTTTTAATAAAATACCCACTAAAAATTGTGTAATTGCCGAATTTCTGACCACAATCAGCTCATAGTAGTCAGGTTATCTTGAAATGAGTTGAAATATACGCATAATAATCGCATATTTTCTCTACATAATTTTGTTTTATAAGTAAAATGCAATATTTATTAGTTAACGTACGATAAGAAAATAGCTTTTATGTCGTGTCGTGCCGCTGGCTTTTACTGCTCGCGTTAAATCTTCGTTATTCGCTCACGCATTTCCTATTTATGGGAAATTTTAGCGGAAATAAAATCGGTCAATAACCTAAGTAAATATGTAAAACTAGTTCTGACACGGCATGTTGAGTTTCCACACCAGAAACATTTACAAAAGTATTTTATCTCAGTGTTTTTAGAAGATTGAATGGGATATCAATAGATATTGGCACTTTCATGTCGGTACAGCAAACAAACAGTCACGAAACTCATTTACAATTGACTGAATAGTAAGTTTTAGCCAAGGAATCTAAGACCAATGTTACCTAACCTCTTATGTTCATGGATTGATGGTTTTAAATTATTATATTTCTAATGGTTTCACTGGTTGTTAGTACTGTACCGTATTGAGTAGGTAATGGGCAAGCTTTTGTAGTACTGTGAGGTACAATCTGTCGGGAGGCAGGCAGGGCTGAGGTCAACGGACGGGGCGCGGGTCACTTAGATCACTCGCCTGTTTCTTGCTTACTTCAGCTTTGTCAAGGAAAATGTTTCGAATATTGTACTACGACGGTTTAATTAGATTTATGATTGCAACCTTATTTAGAATACTAGAATATTCATATATGATTTTATTTTTTATGTGTATGTATAATAAACGTAGGTGAAAATATAATAATCTTTCGCACTGAGCATTATTTTATTGATTTAAATTGAATGCAAGGATTAAGAGCAATTGAAATTAGAAAATACAATAAATATTTCGATGAAATATGAAATTATTATTAACGTCAACACTATTCTTTGATGCTATAAATTAAACAGCACTATTTAATAATCAGATATAAAAGCTGTCGACTTAACAATAGACCCTAGCCTGGCTCCGAAGGCCACCGACTTATATTTTGTAATCGAGATCGCCATCGCAATGTAATTATTTAGATTTGGGCCACAATTTAGCTTGTGTTTAAATATATCGACTAGTTGAATAGCTGCCCTGGCTATTATTTCAAAACATTACTTATAAAATCTAAATAAAACTTATACTGAAAGTTATGGTATATGATGTCAAAGTTACGTTAATAAAAAGGTTATAAGTATATACCAACTTATAAAATAAAGAAAACAACTTTTAACGTAGAAAGGAGATAAAATACCTTTTAAATATAGATGTGTTACTCCAAGTATCATCTTCCATTAAGTCAGTTATTGTTCAATAACACGGCGTATCTCGACTCGACATCCGTTTATCTAATACCCGTATCATTTTATTGTAGAACCTTGCAATGCAATCGTATTACACGGAGATTGTGCAACAGGCGTATAACATGCTACATCACCGTTGTTTGATTAACTGTGATTTTAATTTTCACGTACGTTCGAAATTCGAAATCTCAATAACCAGAGAAATACCAACATAACTGTCTATTTCTTGTCGACTTGCCAGTTCTAAAGGTTTGTACGGTTTCCGATCAAATTCAAGTTTTCGAACGTGAGCTTGCAAAGCGGTACCGAAAATTGAGACCATTTGCTCGGTTGTAATATTACGCTCGTTTGTAGGATTATTTCGTATTTTTTAAAATTATTATTCGTGCAAATAAGAACATAAGTATGATATCATACATAAATCTTAAATTTACGTGTGAATAACTTTTTATTAGATCAACTCTTTTGAATGCAACGAGCAAAGTCGTTATATTGTTTTAATAAAAAAAATCAAAGTATTTTATTCTACAAACAGCATATAGAAGAATAGTCCAAATAATATAGTCAAATTATCAGACTCTAGCAGTTCCCTTGCGGCTTCATACGTATGAAATTACAAAAACTTTATTTTATTGTTTACATTTTAAAAATTCTTAATTTCTAATGTCAAAATTCAAATGGCAACCTTGTTTACTTGATGTTGGCAGCTTGTAGTTTAAGGTCCCTTTCCCACATGAAGAGTTTTCTCTAATGTATTTACCCCAAGTTAAATAGCGTGAAAATATATAGCCTAAAGCGTGTCGTAAGTGTAGGGCTTTTTATTAAAGAAATAATTATTCAAAAATATGCTATGATTTCTGACATCTTACGCCACAAAGTAGTGCGTGTTTACGCTTTATTATATTAGTGTAAATGTAGATATAGAAGTATAGACATATTGACGGTTGAAAACGGTACCGTTATTTTTACGTAATTGTTTCCCAATCTACAGAACTATATTTGCCATACACGGCCTACCATTATGTAAGTGCAAATATGAGTTCACCGAAGTATATATGTCGTGTTTGATGTAATCTGGCAACCGGTCCGCTTCGATTCGCCTACGTCACGCCTCGCCGTATGACTTACGACAGGCGGTTGAAGCCAATACCTTATAAGAAACTTGAGTCATTAACTTTGTTTCGTTTGTTATGAGATAATAAATGGTTGTGAATATTTGTATTAGCAAATCAGAGCATTTTTTCTTAAAATATGTTTATAAGCAACTAACACTTAATTTTTTATTGGAGCAAAATAAAAATGAGTTCTGTTCTGGTTTACGCTTCTAATACCATCGTAGTGTTAACTGTAAAATAACATCAAGTTAAAATTCAATTTTAAAGTCGTTAGTGACCTTTGGAATAGTGTGAATTAAAACAAATTGTGTTTGTACCATAATTTTACACTTAAATCACTAATGTTGTTTGAATAGTGTGTGCAATTTCCCACGGAAGCCGTGATGTATTGTTAGGGACACTTGGATGTCTGCAATAGGAAGTGTCGAATGATTGCTGTTGGTGATCGGCGTATCTAATAACATCTTTCTTGAGTTCCCGACGCTGATAGAATACGCGTATCGTACATGTGTTTTGATGCAATCATTTTGCTATTAAATTCTCTAATACCACTTTATTCGCAATTTTTGAACACGTCTACACGTAACTGTTGGCATACTTTATACTTTATTGTTTTGACATACTTCGCTAAACAAAAAAAGGATATTGATTTTTTTCCCCCGTATGAAACCGAAACGATATTCGGCTAGAAGCCTTTCGTGGAATTCCCGAAGCGGCATTATCTTAATACTCTAAAATCGATTTTTTTATTTAATGATACTTTGGAATTCGTTCTTCGAGTGGTCAACGTTAACAAATAAAAAAGAGCTCATATAAATAAGTATAGCATTAATATTGCGTTCCTATTTTTGATTTGTTTTTGGGGAATGTTTGCTATTTAGGGATTTTGTTAGTAATTATTCAAAGTTAATTTATTTATAGCCAATAGTTGTCAATGTCTCAGAAATGGATCTCAACAAAACATTTTTACAAAGTATCTTAACATTAAATGCCACTGTATTTATGGTAAAGTACTGGAATGTAAAAAAATAAAAACATAAAGCCAGTTTGCGATTGTCGTATTGAAATAGTTTGAGGTATTCGAAGAACTAGTTCTTTAGTTCCTTAACTAATTTACCTTACTTGAATACGTTGTCAGATAAATTTATGTGCTACATTCCAAGCTTATTATACCGTTGATTTTCGCAGAATAATAACGTTACATTTACTCTAAATAATTTGTTCAGACACAGTATTTAGTAATTCTGAAAAAAATATAAACAAGAACTCCATCTGGATTTGACAGAGGTGATTATAAGATCTTATTAAACTTGAACAAAAAAAAAAATAGTTACATGCATTTGAGACTTCGCTAAAACTATGTTCATTGGGTTTTGTCGATGAAAATGTTTAATATACAACTTCGTGACTAATTGCGCGCTTTCACAAAATGTTTGCGTGGGCTGACATTGTCGAGGTCTGCTTATAAAAATGTCCTTGTAATTTAGACAAACAATTGTGGGATGCTCCAACATTGATTGTCTATTTATTTTAGTGTGGAAAATTGAGAAGTGTCAGGCGTTATCACACGTGAGACGATTCGCATAGCTTTTTGTTCTCTCAACAACGGAGACAAACAATGTGTCACAGACACGCCTGTAGCACGTAACATCAACGATCGTAAACAATTTAGATATGGTATGACGCAAGTCTTCAATTATTGTCTCCAAATTTTTCGGAAACGGTATAACAAGGCACGTTTCTCTACAGATATCCAAAACAATATCTCTCATGTGGACTGATTCGACAAAAACGTATTTAAAGATTTTATATGTGGCTTACTGTTTTATTTGCTTACCAACGTTAATAACATTTTACCTTGGCTTTAAAGTTCTGAACCCACGTCGTACATCTTGTCTAGTTTTATAATTATAGGCTGGAGGTTTATTCTAGGTTAATGGAATCTGACTTATTATAAAGCATGTTTCATTATTGTATCACTGAATCTACCTTGTTATTAAAGATAATCGTTTATTTGGTACTTGTAAGTGCTCTTAGAGATGTGTAATAACGATATAAACCTGTCCTTGTGTGAAACTTGACCATTGCGAAAGCTGGTGTTATCTGATTG